GAAAAAGATGCGTTGTGAAAAAAATTCGCGCTAATCAAAACTGGCACCGCGTAGATTAAGGGTAGGTCGCAAATTATTTTTCCGCGTTAATCAAAACCGCGGTATTCAAAACCGTGCTAATCAAGGGATTGCTGTACATCATATCTACATCTGTGCTGAAGTTTTAGTTTTATTTCTTCCATCAGTCCTATTCTGACATTAGCAATAGATGTTACTTATTTAGTTTTAATGTCTTGTTTTGCAATATAACAAATAGTCAAATAGTTGAAGACTACTTATAGCCTTATAAGAATTAGCTAAACTGCTAGCTATGTACAATGTATTGCAACACATGATACCTTTGTACCAAAAACACACAATTCATTGGAACCTAATACACATTAAAGGCAACAAGTTTATATTCCAATTTGTCATAGTACATTTATACTAAACTATGAATAACAATTAACAATAACTCAAAATGAATTAAAAACTGCCAATCAATATATTTAAATGTATGAAAAAATAAAAAATCATGAATTTTTTATTAAAAATCACATGATTTAATCAGTTTGATTTTATCAATGCCAACCCTGAGATAAAATAATGTATGCCAAACATGATATATGTAAAAATCATACGACGTCACATGTACTAGGAATAGGATGCCATCACCCACCACATGTTTCCTAAAACATTTGGCATTGGAACCTATTGTGGGCAATTTTAATTTAACATGGAAATATGGAGATACAACTTCTATGATGAATTTAAATTATAAACATTTACCTAATTCAAGAAATTAGCAATCAATAATTCAAGGTACTGTTGTTAGTTTTGTGTCCACTGAAGAGTAGATTGAGTAGGTATTGGCAATTTGACATCCCTTAGTAAAATTGCTCTGCAATCAGCTGTGGCAGAGGCTGTCAGCAGCACGATTTGTTGGTAATTTTTTATTTGAAATTGAAAGCTTTGTTTCAAGTCCTTAGGACTAGGAGCATAAATTTCAGCCTAAAACCTATTAAAAATTTATGCTTCTGCATGTATTTTACCACGTTTTTCTTAGCTCGCTTTTGTGTCTGTGATGATCAAATCTTGCAATCGATATTTCACCAACTTTCCCATTAGCTAGCGCTCTGAAACTTTTAAGGAAGCTCAGCTCCCAATAACAATACAATAATCAATAATTTGTTGCACGTTTCCAGGCGTATAAACTCTAAAGGAACTCACAAGCAGGGGTTGGAAGTTTTAGATGTAAAATATTTTAACTGAAATACAAAAGACCAAGAGAATGAAAGCAAACAGAGATCAGTAGCTGCCGAAAAATTATTTTCTACTTTTGAGTCCACATGAAAAACGTGGTCTTTAAAAAATTTTTTTATACATTTTATTAATGCTGTTAACATTCAAAAACTTTAAAGTATCTCTGATGCAAGAAATACTGGCTAAATAAATTTTAATTTAGAAGTGAACATCACTTAAAATAACTGTTATTCTGAGCAATCTTGGTTGTGTGACCCTAAGTTTTCGATCCAGTCAGTTTTATTGAAATTGAACATAAATTTCCATCCATGCAGAAACATAAATTTTTGGTATATATATTAAAAATTTAGGCTCCTTAGGACATAAAACAAGGGCTTAGGATTTCAAATTGAGCATTCAAAATTCAAACATATGAGCTGCAGCTATCAGCTGACAGGACTGACAGTGACACTGCCCCTTCTTCAGTGTTAAACCAGCTTTTGTTGGGGAAGGTGTGTTGTGCAGTTCGGCAGTCAGTCCCTAAAGAAGCAGTGATCGGTTCAAAATGCCATAAGACCAGGTTCTTTTATATAACCTATAGAATTGAACTATGCTTGTAAATACCTGAAAGTTTCTATGTTCCTCCTGTTGTAAACTGTCTTGCATTAGATGTTCAAGTTCCAACTCTACACAGTTTAGAAATTGTAGTAAAATAATATGAAATTTAAGTGGAGCCTCATCTCTATCGGAGGCACTCTTATCATTTTGTTTTGACTCTAAATGTTTGTTCCTAGTTTCTGCAAGGAATTGTTAGTCAAGTTGAAAATAATATTAGTGCATGCATTTTCTTCATTTGTTTTGATTCACCACTTGTTGTAAATGAAACATAATTTGAATAAACTTACATTATTCACCACCGCTCATAATCGTGAATGAGGCATGATTACTCACTCGAGTGAAGTCAGAACTTGAACTATGAGCAAAATAATTCAATACATTGGTTGCTGAACCACTTTCATTTTTTTGACTCATTTTTGTTTTTTTATTCACTTTCAGCCTTCAACACACTTTTGTTATTTGACTCACTTTTGCACAATGACTCACTTTTGTTCAATGACTCACTTTTGTGCTGTGACTCACTTCTATTCTTTCTCTTTCATATTCCCCAATAAATCTTACAATTTCCTGTAATCCCTGCTTGCACATTTGCCTTTTCAAATCAATTGCCAGGTCATACCCTCTCATGAAATTGATGCCGGGAAGAGAACAGTGAGGAAACAAGTCATCACTTACCACTGCAAACTTATGCTTGTTGGGCATTTGGTATGTCCCTATGGAGAAACCCAAACAAACAGTTTGTGTTATTGGTGTTTGTCTGCCTGAAAATCCCACAATTTCATACAGATTCTCATTAATTATGCAAAATTCAAGTGACCCACAAATCTTCTCCAAGACAGACATGAACACAAGGCTTATCTCAGCACCGCTATCCAAAACAGCACATAATTCAAGGTTAGCTATCGAGATCCATACCTGTGGCAGAGAACTTATTTTGTGGTTACACATATTATGGCAATTGTCAATGGTCAGCAATGCTGCCATCAGATTCAAGATCACCATCAGAATCAACAACATTGCTTCTCAGGGAGTGCTGAGGATGACTTTGTGATTGCACAGTACCTTGCATTTACTAGCATTTGCAAAGAATAGCCTTTCATCTCTATGAGAGGGTTGAAATGAATACCACTCATACATTGCAAGTGAACAGCTTCAGGATAATTTGCAACTTGATAAATAACAGGAGCATCTGACCAAAAGTACACAAATATGCAAACATGAAACAATGTGCTGGCAGCCATTAACACATCAAGTGATGGTAATTGGCCTAATGTTGCATGTGCCTTAGTTCTTTATGAGAATTACTGTATGGTCAAGATCAGTCTTATACTTTACAGAGTTTTTCAATAATTCGTCTACTAGTTCAAGACACAGTTCAACATCAGATTTAGGCAAGTTAACATCACAATTAGACCTGGACAATACTCGCAACAAACTCACGAACAGTGAATCTCCTCCACCAGCCACAAGTTGACTACCGTCAAACGGGGTAAAAAGGGACGGTTTTGAGCATTTTTTGTTAATAACTTCTTACCATGAAACATTTCAGAAACAAGTTTAGGCTCATTTTATAGCTCTTTGAGAGGGCTATCAAATGGCATCTTCAAAAAAATTTCATATGCTATTTGTACAGTGTCATCCCGATTTACTCCTAGGAACGGGGTAATCCGGGACACTTGCAATAAAAGTTAATTTTAAAACATTTGAAGCATGCAGAGTGTACTCGTCCATTACTAACAGTACTCTGAAGTCCTCCTCTTTCATTTTAGATGTCGTAGATGTAAAATAAATGACATTTTCTGTGATTTTTACTTGTTTTTTCTTTATTGATATGATATTACCATATTCATTAATTACCATACCGTATTATTAATGTGATATTACTGTATCCATGGACATGCCATTGAGCATTGACAACAACCTTGTCCACTGCAAGCTTCATATCAGCAGCCATATAGCATTTCTTCTGTATCTATAAGCTTACAGGATGGTTTGTAATTTTGCACAATTTTAATCAAGTCTAGTGATTTCACTATAATAAAAAAGATTGTGAAAAACATACCTGAAACGGAAAATAACGTTTTAGTGACAACCATCATATGTTTTGAAGAAATAAATCATAGTTTAGGTCAATTACTTTTCATTCTATGATGCCTGGTGCACAATTCTATATATAGCATTCTATGTACAATTTTGTGACGACTGATGATGCACTAATTTAAAAAAAAAAGTGAATTTTTTTTGCTAGCAAGGTAAATGTAATCAAAATTCTTTGTTGTTAATCAATTTTTTTGTTAACTGGAGGCTTTGCTAACTGAGGTTCTACTGTAAATGCATTTTTAAGGGTGTCCCTAATTACCCTGGGGGGTGTCCCTTTTTACCCCGTCACGTGGAAATGGCTGCCATTTTTTTTGGAATGAGATAGGCAAATTCTTTCAATTACGTTTTCAAGCCGACACCTGGGTGCAACTTTTATGTAAGTAAAATTTTTTAATACGGCAAATATTTTTTTTGCTCCTGACCTTAGCAGAGCTTCTTTTCCAAAATCGCATTTCTCACAATTTTTTTCAGCAATTTTTTAGAGATAGTAAATGTTTGATTTCTTGACTAGCTTTATACATAATAGATACCTAGTAAAAATGTTGAAGTTTATGCCACTATTTTTAGTTTTGCAATATTTTGATTAGTTAAGCTGCTACAACATTTCTACGACACGCGTCCCTATTTACCCCGCCCATCCTTTTTTACCCCGTTTGACAGTACCTAGTTTCAGTCCCTGAGGCACCACACACAAATCATAGGTACTGTATGGTATCAACAGGAGGAGATGGTGAGCCAATACGTGACCAAGCATCAGCAGCAGAGTTAAGGTGGCCTGGCACATACACAATGTCAAAAACAAAATCAGACAGCTCCTTAACTGTCCTGGTCAACCTAGAACTTATTATCTTCATGTTATGCAAATGAACAAGTGACTGATGATCCGTATACAAAGTAAATGATACACCAAATGCTTGTAAAATAAATAGGTTACAACAATTACTATGAAATAAGAGGCAAGAGGTTTGAGTGACAAAGGATCAGAAGTCTCATGGCAACACTATCTTCATAGCCAAATCCTTAAAAACCAATTTGAAAATGACATATCGCCTTTGTTACAGAAACAATAATTTTGGGCAACTTCTTTCTAAATTTTTTACTCTACTAAGTGAAGTTATCTAAAATACTGAAGTGTTTTCCATGTCAGATTTTTTGAACTGTGTTTTGGGTTTTGTTGAATTGGTTTGAGTCACGCAGTTAAGTCATGGATCCGTCAACAAGTGTCATCCTTGTTGAAGCTCTCTACTCATTCAAAGGGAAAAATAATGATGAGGTGAGTGGTAATATTTTATTTCTGTGGTATAATGCCAATTTTTTCAGGGAACTGTACTTAATTGTGGAAGTTTTGGTGATTTTTGAAGAGAGGCAATTTTTTTCAGGTTAGAGGAATCCAAGACCTGAAATTTGTCTTGAAGAATCACATCTAAGGCTCTTTTTCATTTTTTGGAGATTGATTTATAAGAAAGTTGAGACCGATTGAATTTGGTCCCAAATTTGAAAAAATATTGAATCAAGGCATTTGTTTAGTCCTAGAACATTGCAGACCTACTGGAGGATATTTTTGATTGAATTAAATCAAAATTAAATTATTAAATTAATTGAATTAAATCAAAAAGCTGTAACTCAACCTGACCCATTTAAACAAGAAAAAAGCTGCTCGAGATATGATTTTATTCCAAAAATGCACTGTAGTTTATTTTTACCTGGTAAGAGTGTCTTCCTCAAAATTCACCATAATTTTGTCTCAACTTGTTTTACATTGTAGGCGAATAGAACATATACTCATAATTTTTGCTGTGCTGAGTTTTAGCAATGTTTTCAAGCTATTTCAAACCAAGCAACTTTGGGTTCTGTAGACCATTTTCATGGCCATAGCTACTGACTTGAATAATCATCTCTTGTACCTAATTATATAAAATTATTATAATTGTAGATATAAATATAGGTATTTATTCTTTATTCCTATCATTGTAATTTTTTTGTGATATAGGCAAGGACTTGGATATAGGTACATTGCTTAATTCAATAATTTTTTTTCATTTTCTTACTGAGAAACTAGTACTACTCCAGCTATTTCATGAGTAGTTCTAGAGGTCACTGTGCATTTTATTGTTGTGCACAATTTAAGCAGAATTAATTCTACCTTTAGCTATCTTTTTTTTTGCAAAATTGTCCATTTACTTTATTTTGAAAATGTTTTGCTCTCATTTAAATGCCTCTTATATCATTTTTGTTTGGGCAAACATAAGTCTATTCAGGTGGTTAATGGCTAAGGAATTCATGGATTCAAATTTTCAGGTCTGAACAATATTCTTCACATGCGATTGTTCAAAAATAATATGCACAGTGTAGAGGACATCATAAAGACATATGATGTGGGTAATTTGAATTGATATCCAAAATTACTGAGTACCTCATTATAAATTACTTTCATTTCTTTTTTCAAGGAGTACCGTAACTTGATTGGTCAATCAAAATGCAGAGGGTGACAGAAATAATTTTAATTCATTAACAACGTTTCAAATGTAACAACATTCATTTTGAAGGTATAAGAGGCATTGAAGACAGAAATTTAGGTGGAAATGAGTACATGTAGTGATTTGATAACTCAAAGAAAATTTTTATTTGAAAATAACTCCAAAACCATATCGAAGCTTAGAAAATCTGTTAGTTATGAGCTGGATAGCTGGAGTCCAATCCATAGATATTAGGGCTTCTGTTATATTTGGTCAGAAGATGTTTTTAATTTATCATATTCACCAGGGATAATGTTGTTCATATTGTTATTATTGTATCATATATGTTGTTGTATCATATTTACGTGTATTACTGGTACGTACTTATCTCCACCAAAATTTGTGTTCAATGCTTCCAATACCTTTAACATGTTGACTATGATTGCTTCATTTTTTGTACTTTTTCTAAACAGGGTTGCCAGACGGTCATTTTTTTCGGACAAATTCCGTGATCTAGTTTTTCTCAATTGCGTTGGCTGGCTAAAATTTATGATAGGGGTACTTCCTAATTAAATTTTAAATAGTGCAAAAAAAAAATAAATGGAATTTTTATAGCAGAACCTAAAAATAAACTAGTATACATTGAATTATTGGCCTTTTTTGGCCTTTTGTGGCTTTTTTTGTTCTCAGATTTGGCCGATTTTAGGCAACCTGAATTATGTTATGACCACTACCTCCTGGAGAAATACATTTCGTGGTACACATATGTACCAATATGTAGTCAACGTGTTAAAATGAATTTTGTTACATCCAAAGCATAATTAATAAATTAGAATGATTTTCTTTGACCTGCATTTTGATCAACCAATGTCATCTGAAGAATATTGTTCGACCCTGAAAATTTAAATCAATGAATTCTCTGGCCATTAACCACCCATGTAGCATGTTCAAACAAGCTTATTCTGCCATCTAATGCTAAAGGCACTTAAGACATAACTATATGTACACTTTCAATTGTTTTAAAACTTATATAGATTTAAGATTAGAGGGTGCAATTTCATCCATATAATGTATTAAAAAATTATTTATGTTTGCAGCTCAACTTTAAGAAAGGCGCCATCATCACTGTTACCCAAAATGACGATGAAACTTGGTGGGAAGGTACTTACGATGGCACAACCGGCTGGTTTCCTGCCAATTATGTTCGACCATTCCATTCTTCAGGTACGAGCTCTCAGTTGGCACTTTGCTCATAGCTATCTATTCAGAAAAAAATATTCTCATATTTAATGTGTCTAATGTGCGCTCATTAAATTAATGTGCGCTCATTAAATATTCTTCCTGTATTCCTTACATTAATGTGCGCTCATTAATATTCTCATATTTAATGTGTCTACATGTGCCAAAATTTCAGTCTTCAGGTACGAGCTCTCAGTCGGCTCTTTGCTCATAGCTATTAATAAAAACTATGAAATTCTAGACACATTATCAAATGCTGCTAATTACTATTAGAAAGATGAAGGTTTCATTCACATTCTTATTCAATAATCTAAGTAAAATTTTACATTTGTAAAGTAAGACCTAGCTGGCAGCTTGACATACCAGTAATTGATGAATTGATCAAGTTTAGTGAAAAATTAAACTATTCACATTTAAAATTCAATGAAAGCCTAATAGAAACAGTCATTTTTTGTGTGATCATTTATTACACTGTTTTCAACTGTATTATGTTGTTTTCAACTGTGTTTAGGATATACCTAATATATTAATTTAAACAAATACCCTTCTTATGCAGAAAACTGATTTTGAAATTTGCATCAGCTTATCGAATTGATTTATGAAATTCCCAAATATTTTGATACCCATATCTGTCAAGCACAACTTGGTGTAACAATTCTGTGCTGATTATTTGGGTGGTACTATTGTCTTATTTTAGATGGTATGCTTGAATTGTACTCATTTTATTGAATTTCACAATAGTCTTAAAAATAAGAGCTATTTGTAGAATAAACTGCTGCAAAATGTTGCTCAATCCCAGTTTATGTAAATCACTTTTGTTTAGGGTAATTAATTTGAGAAAATGTAAGTATAATATAGATTTGAGCTAATTTGATATTTCTTTCATCAGATAATAAAGGGAGTTTGAGCAATGGACACACTGAGCTGCAGTCTCCGGCAGGAGAGCAGCAGATGTACCGAGCCCTTGTGCTGCGCAGTCTCCTGGACAGCGAGCGGCAATACCTTGCTGATGTGCACCACCTCCTGTCTGAGTGCCTCAGGCCTCTCATTGCCCACAAGAAGTGAGTTGGGGCAAACATGTGAACATGCATGTTTTCCTTCCATAAGAAGACCATGTGCACTTGCATGTTTTTCTTCCATAAGAAGACCATGTGCACTTGCATGTTCTCCTTCCATAAGAAGACCATGTGCACTTGCATGTTTCCTTCCATGATAAGGCCATACATTGTCTACAACTCTGTATATCAATCCCATGTATAAAACTTTTTTCAATGCTCCTGGTATGTGTTATAAGTATATGCATTTTTTCAATGATTTTCAGTTATTGGCTTTTCATTAACCATGATATCTCAAGGCTAAATTTTATCTGTAGCATCAGCCCTAAATTCTCATGCTTTCATCAATTTGCTCATTAAATTAACCTTATCTATTTGCTAATTATTCTCACCCTTTCACCAATCAGCACTTTGTAAACACCTCGTCATCACTTGCATCATTACAATGTCCATTATTATCAGAGGACGAACTATTTATACTATTTATTTAGTGATGTAATATTCTTGTGTTACTCTCCCAGTGTGGTGCAGTTGTATGTTTTGCCATTGCACTTTACAAGAGATCTTTGCCTTTATAGTTATTTGCTATTAATACAGATTTCAGTATAAATTGTACATCCTATGCCAAGTTTATGACTTGAGTGTGGGACACTGTATAATTTGAGCCTCTTAAAAAAATCCACATTTATTTGAGTTGTGAAAGAAAACATCATAAAGTTTCATAAGTATTAGTATGCCCCCTAACTTACTCCACAGTTCAGGACTAATCACAATGACATAAAATATAAGAAGTGCTCTTTATAGATATCTCTGTAAACAGCAAGATGGGACCGCGTTGTTTAGCATGGATAACAGGATTTTGTGGTTAGTAGTATGAATTAATACTAACATATGGAGTGATTTGAAAAAGGTAAATTTGGAGTCATAAGCGTGTTTCTTTTTGGACAGCTATTAAGTGAGTTTTGCAATTTTGTAAGAATTCTTGGGCAGTTCTTACGTCATTTTTGTTACATCATTGCTAGAAATAAGAGCATCATGGAAGTGTGAGTAACTGTGTTATGTTAGCCCAACCTAAACTGAGTTTACCATCAATTTAAGCTTTGTTATTTATGTAATAAACTTACTGTTGTTGCTCTAAATGAAATATAAAAAAACTTTAGTTGAAACAAACATTATTTTGTCAATTATATATACATAAAACATTCCTTTTGAGACTAGAAGTCCATTGTTGAAGTTATTTTCAGTGTAAACCAACTCAAAAGTTCATATTAGCAGTTGAAGAAGAGTCATTATTAGTCTGCTTTCAAGTGAGTGAAATGACGGGAGCAATGTCCATAGACTTTGTTTAGTTGTTATATTATAAATTGTTATAAATATTAGTTGTTATTATTATAAATATTCGTATACAACCAATTGATATTGTGGCCTAAATAACGGTTTCAGCATTTATTGGATCATAGCCCTGCTGCAGATTGTCGAAATCGCAGAACATTCACAGCTTGTTGCGATCTCGAACACGTAACTCACTGCTTTAGTTTTTCTTTGCTTAGCTCGCCCGGCCTCCAAACTGTCGCAGGTAGCTGGGATCAAACCCGCGCCTCTCTGCTCCAATCCTTGTACTGTGAACTGTAACCACTAGGCCACCCTTCATATTTTGGCTTGCAATATATATAATATTACTGGATAATCTAACTGGCATTTAGATTATCTTTGCCCCTGATTTAGAATCGCTTTGCATTTATTTATTATTTATAGCCATGTGTTACCTTTTTGATTCGTCAAGATTTGTTTTTAGTATTTGATTAGTTCTATATTCATTCAAATGTGAACTTGGTTATTCCTTTGTTTAGCTGATTTCCTAGAAGAACGGATTTCTTGTACACATAACAATATTCATGGCTGACCTAAAACACAATTAAAGTTACATGTGATTCAATTTATAATAGAGACGTATCTCTTACTGTATATACTTGGTCATTAACCTTTGGTTTTCTGAGAATAACTTACCAATTATAAAAAGAATTGATGTCGATCATTGAGTTCGTAGCCCGAATATTGACACAACAGCTGGCTGGCAGGTCCAGCTGGGAGCCGCTGCGTCGGCTGGTGGAGCAGCTGGAGCGCGTAGCTGGGGTGCATGAGGCGCTGCTGGGGCGTGTAGAACATGAAGGCGAGCAGCCCTCTGCTGACCAGCGTGTAGGAGGCGCCTTCCTTGCTATGGCCGCGGACGCCCTGGCGTTCGAGCACCGACAGTACTGCCTGCTGCACCCCAAGGGAGTGTGCAGTCTTCAGCAGCACCAGTGAGTGTGGCAGCCATGGTTACAGTATCAGTGCTAGGGTCCCTTGCTTTGGTTTCACTAAATATTTTAGTAACTTCCCTTGCTCTGGTTTCATCCCCTGGTTAGGGTCCCTTGCTGTGGTTTCATTAAATGTTTTAGTAACTTGTATGAAAATTTTCCCTTCAGCAGCACATGCAGTGAGTGAAGCAGTAATGGTTACAGTATCAGTGCTAGGGTCATTTGCTGTGGTTTCATTAAATGTTTTAGTTATTTGTATGGAAATTCTCAGTCATTGTAGCGAAGTGTTAGTGGCACTGTTAACGCAGTGACGGCGGCACAAAGATAAGAGGAACTGCCCGTGAGTTCGAACCTCTGTAAGCTCAGTTCATTTCTCCATGTCACTGGTGGGCAGCGCTGGGTTGCCGCATGTAGGTGGTGCTTCCAACATGGCCATGGGTGTGAGTCCCTGAAATAACTTTTCAGGGACTCACTTCTTCTTCTCACTTCTTAAGAAGAGTACTTCTTACCTGATGGGACTTAAGCTGACTTATGATATTGTCTTGAATCTTGTGAGGTTTGTATTCAGATTTTATCCAGAAGAACTATGAGCTTCTAACTGCCGGAGATTGTAACAAGAAGTCTCGGAATTAGTTTGCAGATATGCGCTGCTTGGCTGCCGTGGCAAGTATCACTCTAAGAATTACTTCGCTCCCGCATGAGATGGCAGTGAGAAATGTGTGTTTTCTACCACGGGTGCAAATGAAGGCCAGTCTGCTTTAGATAAAGTATCGTAGGATCATTAGGGAGGCACGGTGGAGACGAAGGATGGAGAGAATGTGGTAGTACAGAACAACGTGCTTGGACCATGACTGAACCAGCATCGTTATTGAGGATTATGCGTGCGCTGCTGAGAGATTGCCTGTGTAGAGGTATGCCTATGGGTCAGGTGTTTAGGAGAGTCCAAGCATGTTACGTCGTTACGCACAATATTGAAGAAGTTGCGACCGCGTATCGATAGAATGCTTGAAGTGGCCTTTAGCTTGCTGCTTGGTGGCAGACGATGGATACGAGGTGGAGGAAGAGTTGGAGGAGATTCTGATGAGGTAGGTCTGTGTTCAGATAAAACGGCCTTGCTGGGAACTAGAGCTTGGGTCATCTTGCAACAGGCAGAGCAGATCCATCGCATGAGCAGAGTAATTGTGGATGGTGATCAGGCCTTAGCATCTCTTGTGAGTTAAAGACTCACATTGAGCACCTATGGGATGTTCGGGGCGGCTCTGATCATTTTTAGTAGCAATTACGACTCGCATTTCTGGCTAATGTCTCGCATTTCTGGCTAATGTCTCGCATTTCTGGCTAATGTCTCGCATTTCTGGCTAATGTCTCGCATTTCTGGCTAATGTCTAGCATTTCTGGCTAATGTCTCGTATTTCTGGCTAATGTCTCGCATTTCTGGCTAATTTCTCGCATTTCTTACTGAAATTCATTTGTTTTGATGATCTTTAAGCAGAGAAAGTTTGACCTACAGGACGGAAGTGAACCAATTCGTTGAAGGGACTAACCTGTGCGAGGAGAACTGCGACGGTCAGAAGAAACCAGGGCTGCTGGTGCTGACGACGGGCTTGTCCAAGCCCTTCAGGCGCCTCCAGCAATATGCAGGTACTTCTTCATTCAATAGTTTATTATTTTTACTATAATTGCAGACGAAACACTCTGATTTCAACTACGTCCAATTTTTCGGCCAAAGCACTTTATCGCAGCTACATACACAGTTAGCATGCAGATCGATTGTGAAATAATAATTAGTGTCTCATAGTAAAAATATTGGTGTAGTTGGCAGAAGATTTTCTTTAATGCAGGTTTCATTGAAGATCAGAGAGTATTTATTATTGACAATTTCTTATTGTTTTTCTCTATTTGCCGAATAGAGAAAAACAATAAGAAAATTGTCAATAAGAAATACGGTCTTCAATGAAACCTGCATTAAAGAAAATCTTCTGCCAAACTACACCATTATTTTTACTATGAATGAGCACTAATTTTTTTTATAATCGATTTGCATGCTATGTTGTTTGTGTATGCAGCAACATACACTAACTGTGTATGTTGCTGCGAGTAAGTGCTTTTGCCGAAAATTGGACGTAGTTAAAATCAAAATGTTTCGTCTGCAAAAGCTGATGTCAGTCCCTGTAAAAGAAAGACTTGTTGTGTTTGGGGTGCTTTTTATTACCAACAGCGATACATGCTGTGAAAATTGCTTCTTGCTTTACAGCTCTGCTTCTGATTTATATAGCATTTATTGCTACATGAATTTTCTTCTGCAGCGCACAGCAAATGTTTCTACTCAGAGAGCCTGTTACAATAAATAAAACGTCTACGACCGTCTTGGGTTAAGATGTTAAATATGGTCTTCATTTATTCAAATTCATCTAGTCTAGGTAACAATAAAATATTTGAAATAGATGCAAATGGTTGATTATTTTGAGCTCCATGAGGATATGCTAAGTTTTTCTACTGCTCCACACACCCTACCAAGAAACGCCGTAACCACTTAATATTCAACTCACTATTATTCTATTGAATGGAAATACGAATTTATTTGGTGATAAGTTAGGCATGAAAATCCTGAATTATTTCAAGTTTGGGAAGCAGGGTGCATCATTGATGGTGCCCACATATAATATAGTGGATTATTTTTCTCAATGATGATAAGACAGGTGCATTTCTCGCTACCCATTTGGGCCCTGTAATTATTATTTATTTTTTGTTTACTTTATGTGCATAAATTACTGTCCTCCCACTTTATGTACCATTATAAAAATACTAACACACCTGCCCTATCTTATGTTAATTTCATTTCTTACGAGGGATAAGCTAGAATAAATGCTACTTTTTTAGTAAATTTTCTTAAAACTTAGAGTCCAAGCTAATAACTACTGACCTGCCTGACACTAAACAAAGATAAATAGCTATGCATAGATGATACATGGAGAATAATCACGCCAGTGACAAGTATGTTGTACTGTTCGTTGATTTGTGCTGCTACACTGTTAGAAAAATTACCGTTAACGGTATTACCGGCGTTTCAGTGGCCGATCAGAACGTGAAAAGAAACACCGTGTCGCCGTTTTTATTCTAATTTAACACGAGAAATCCGTAAAACATCTGATAAAAACGGCGAAACGGTTTATTTTCACGGGGCGACCGGCCACTAGAACGCCAGTGGGACCGTTTTTTCACCGTTTTTAGCGCATTTTCTCATTTATGGAAAAATGCACTATCGTGCTCGCCATGTCCGTCTGTCTGTCCGTCTGTCTGTCCGTCTGTCTGTCTGCCTGTCCATCCGTGACTTCACGTTTTCATCGACGAGAAAATGCGCTCTCTGTCACTCACTGCAGTGAGTACTGAGTTACGTATATTTTTTCTAACAGTGTACACGCAGACCTAATGTATGACACTAAACAAACATAAATACCTATATGAACAAAGATAAATACCTATATAAACAAACATAAATACCTATATAAACAAACATAAATACCTATATAAACAAACATAAATACCTATATAAACAAACATAAATACCTATATAAACAAACATAAATACCTATATAAACAAACATAAATACCTATATAAACAAACATAAATACCTATATAAACNAACAAACATATATACCATAAATACCTATTGCTCCACGTGACCTAATGTATGGCACTAAACAAACATATATACCATAAATACCTATTGCTCCACGTGACCTAATGTATGACACTAAACAAACATATATACCATAAATACCTATTGCTGCATGTGACCTAATGTATAGCTGGTTGGCAGGTCTGCTGCAGGAGCTACACAGGCACCTCCCTGAGGCGCACAAGGACCGCGGCGACGCTCACAGGGCCGCTAAGATCATGGCAGACTTGTCCGTGAGTTGCGTGATGAATAATGACGTATAAATTCATGATATTGTCAAGTCTATTCATTATTTCGTGTTTGAGGTGACGTATAAATTCATGATTTTGCACGACTCTAAACATTATTTCGTGTTTGAGGTGACGTATAAATTCATGATATTGCACGAGTGTGTTCATTATTTCGTGGTGACGTATAAATTCATGATTTTGCACGAGTGTGTTCATTATTTCGTGCTTGGGGCGACGTATAAATTCATGATATTGCACGACGCTAATCATTATTTCGTGCTTGGGGTGACATATAAATTCATGATATTACAAGAGTGTGTTCATTATTTCGAGCTGACTGAAATATTTTGTTGACCTGAAATGTTGATCGGTTCTTCAAAGCAGTCCAGGTATTTCAGTCGAAACTTTTGGTTATTTTGAAAACTTGAATGAATATGATAGTGAGAAGATACGACTGATTTTACCTCGTTTTTCTTAGCTCGCTTTTGCGTCCGTCTGTCTGTCTGTCTGTCTGTGATGATCAAATCTTGCAATCGATATTTCACCAACTTTCCCGCTAGCTAGCGCTCTGAAACTTTTAGGGAAGCTCAGCTCCTGATGACAATACAATAATCAATAATTTGTTGCACGTTTCCAGGCATATTTATCACTATTATAAACAAATTAATTTTCGAAGTGGAAATTTGTTTTCCTGTATCCCCTCGAATACAATTTTCTACAGAACTTCGAAAAGAATTTTCTTTCGTGCATTTGCGTGGCCAACTGAAATAAAATGAATATTATGTAGGATGGCTGACCTTAAAATTGGCTCGCAACAACGTTTTTCATGTGTAGCAACGGACTAAAAAGGAGAAAATAATATACTTAGAAATTTTTTTTTAAACCACGTTTTTCTTGTGGACTAAAAAGTAGAAAATGAATTATAGCTCGCCCCAAAAAACGTGGGTCGGGCTGTACGTTCACCATCAAATTCCCAAAATTCGTGTGTTGTGTGCTTTTTGCTTTAATCATAAATCTGCCCGACACACGTTTTTTGTGGCGAGCCATAATTTATTTTCTACTTTTTAGTCCACAAGAAAATAGTGTTTTTTTAAGTTTTTTTAAGTATTTTATTACTGCTATGCATGGCTAAGCATACTTTATAACATTTAGTAAAATTTTTTAATTTTACCTCACATTAATTCTAAGGTGAAAATTCTGAATTATAAATTCATTAATTCTAATGAATTAATATTGCATTTCATAATTGATCCAATTTTACCAAACTTGAGTGAATGAGTATTTTATCGGAGATATATTAATGTGTCAAAAGTTACTATTCAAGGTACCAGCATGTGTAGGATAACTTCATATCACTTTATGTTAGCTTCGTCGCTTAAAGAGCATTGATTTCTGTTGGTTCGCACCAGCAAAGATAACTTCTTGTCAATACTTCATGCCATATAAACTATTTACTGAAACGAGACACTGCGAAATTCATGTCATATAAATTGTTTGCTGAAACGAGACACTGCGAAATTCATGTCATATAAATTGTTTGCTGAAACGAGACACTGCGAAAGCATTGTCCGTACCTTGCCTCAAGTCGCACCAATTTATGAATATTTCTCACGTAAATAACAGCAAATAATTGTTGCACTGTTAGAAAAAACGGTGAAAAAACGGTCCCACTGGCGTTCTAGTGGCCGGTGGCCCCGTGAAAATAAACTGTTTCGCCGTTTTTATCAGATGTTTCACGGATTTTTAGTGTTAAATTAGAATAAAAACGGCGACACGGTGTTTCTTTCACGTGCTGACCGGCCACTGAAACGCTGGTAATACCGTAAACGGTAATTTTTCTAACAGTGTGATTGTAGGCAAGTTGCCAGTCAGCACGGCGACAGAAGGAGCTGGAGCTGGAGGTGGTGACCAAGGCGAAAGCAATGTCCGTACTGTGCTTCAAATTGCTCCAATTTATAAATATTTTTCGTATAAATGACAAATAACGGTAAATAATTGTATGTTGTAGGCAAGTTGCCAGTCAGCACGGCGACAGAAGGAGCTGGAGCTGGAGGTGGTGACGCAGGAGCTGGCAGGGTACGATAGAGGCACGCTGTCTGCCCTGGGGGAGGTGGTGTTCATGGGGAGCGTTGCCGTCCTGCCGGACCACACCGACCGATACATCGTCCTCTTCCCCCACCACCTCGTGGTGCTCTCCGTCTCTGCCAGGATGAGCAACTTCATATTCCAGGTCCTGATTTGGTCTTTATTTATCTCTAATTTAATATTTATAGCAAGCTCGTTTTTAACTATGGAGAGCTGGTGTAACTTTCTGCTCCGGCGCTCATAGAGAGCTAGTGTAGCACAATTGAAATGTCGCAAATTCTACTGAAGTGTTGCTCACTCGGTTTGAGTGCTGCTTGAATTTACCTGATCCAATCAGCTTGTAACGTTACTGGAGGAGTACTTTTGAAACTCGCTCTAGTACCTACATTTAGCGTTCTAAGTACACGCAGCGGCCTGTTTTTAGGATGTAATTGGTGGGTTTATCTTGAGAAACCATCAGTGATTGGCTGATGCTGTTACAAACTCTTGACTACTTCCGATAGTACGGCTCGTGAAGGATTAGCTGCGAACATTATTATAAATACTGTACTGGGACTCTTTGAAGATTACTTCGTATGATTCTCGCTAGCTGATTTATTTAAATGTGATTTTTAAATGTGATGTGAGAGGCTGATTTATTTTGAGAGCGCTTTATCATTCTTTGCTTGCCCACAATATTCTTGTAAATGAATAAAAGTTACCTTATCATTATCTGACTTTTTAAGGCATGTTTATCCACGGACAATGAACATTTCATTTTTTCAAAATTTTTATCGAATTTGGGTCAGTCCTTTGTTTTCCGTTAATTTTTGCAGATGCACGAAACTTCCTCTGGAAGCTCAATATTGCTACTCCAGTCTATAACTTGATCACAATAAATGTTTCCTTGTAACAAGTCTTGTAAATGTTACAAGTGTAAGTGTTGTAATAAGTCTTGTAGTGTAACTCAGTAAGAAATTTGAATTTCGGATGTCACTAAAACTTGCAGTCTCCGGACATTTCTCCAGATAACTTATATTTCTTCTGCCATTCACTTAAACTTCGACATTTCTCCAGATAACTTATAGTTTTTCTGTCATGTTTTACAAGCAATATATACCTAGTCTCCTAAATTTGCTTGTCTGCTGCCACAGTCGGAGCACAACTTGTCAGAAATATCCTGCCGCTCGCTGGACGACTGCAGCCAGTACAAGAACGCCTTCGAACTCAGCGGTGAGTGCCCACTGAATAATTCATTAATACAGGCCATGGCGCTAATTCATCAATTCAGGTCATGGCATCAATTCATCAATTCAGGTGATGACGCTAATTCATCAATTCAGGTGATGACGCTAATTCATCAATTCAGGTGATGACGCTAATTCATCAATTCAGTTCTTGGAAAAAAATCATGGTTCGTCACTCGTTCTTGGTTGACAATAAAATTTGAAATACAAAATGAAAAATATGGTAAGCGTTGCATTTTTTCACGGATCATCGTATTGTGTCCCGATCGAAAAATTGTGGTGAGAACCAGCTGAGCGTTTTAAAGATATTCTCTCTGCAGAAGCATCATTAAATTATTTCTTAAGTCAATGTGTATTAATCATGACCAGGCGCGAAATTGAATCGGTTGGTGGTGCTGTGCCAGAGCAAAGAAGACCAGATGCAGTGGGTACAGCGTCTGTCCCAGCCTCCTCCTCTCATGCCTGCATTCAGCGCCCCAAGTGCCCCAGATGTTGCAGATAAAAATCAGCTCTCGCCTAAACTTCCTCCTCGCATGCCAGTCGCTGGCAAGCAGGCCGGTGAATTCCTTCGTCAGCAGCCCTCTGTTCTTCCATCACATGTGAGTTGCAAAGATCGCAGTGCTGCCGCTGCTATTGTTCTTCTCTGTAGCTGCTGCTTCTGCACATGTTCTCCTAGCGCCTCATGCTCCAAACTTCCGTTGCAGTCTCTACAGTTAAGTAAGGAAGCTCCCAGGGAGACTAAGCTTGTCTGGAATAATTACTGGAGACATACCCTTGGTAATGATGGTGATATGTCCCATTCGTTCAGTCACAATGACCGGTGCAGGTGCAGCTGTGAAATTTGCAAGCAATCTCCTCGAAAAAGAGCAGATACATTAAGTAATCAGTGTGCACAAAATGACAACAATAATATAGCAAACTTTGAACAGCAACGTTCTTTTGCTAATATATCAACAAAAAAGGATTGCATTGATCTTTTACAAAGACTAGATAATCAACTTCGGCATATATCATTCAAACCTCCTTGGAAGATTCGGATTCAGTCACGAGGTGTTGAATTTTGTTTTCGTTGCCGATTGCCTATTTATACGAAGCCCAAAAATAGAAAGCTGAAAAACCTTGATCGTACTTCATTTTGTTCTTGTGGTGCACCTTCATTAATATACCGCAGCTTGCGGCGTCTTTCTCCCTCCGACTCCATAAAATTTATCCAACACCAGAGCTACACTCAAGACAGAGTTGTTCTTCCTCATGCTTATGATAAACGCAAGCAGCCTTACGTCACTCTAACGTGCCACTTCCGCAGGCTGTATCGTCGTAAAATAATCACTCGGCTCATGTTACGACAATTGTCAGGTGACCAATACGATTTAAAAGCAGCAGCTGGCGTACTGCTCCGGAAAAATGTCATCGGTAATCGTTGTTCAGTTGACCAGCATGCCCGGTACTGCCATCTGAACACTTCTCCCGTGGCGGAAAAGTTATGCCTGACGTTGCACCCTCATATCGAGTGCATGTCTACGGCTTCTATACATTCTCTCACCACCAATCAACTTATTAGTTCAAAGTTCCCTGCTGCAAAATTATGTCCGCGTCCGCGGTCACCTACCACGCAATTTTCTACTCGTTCGATGTCACCCAATACGAAAATTTTGCATTCGTCACAGATTGCTTCCTTAAAATTGTCTCCTCAAGGGAACTCAGGTTCCCCTTCAAAATTGTCCAAACCATTTCGACCGCGCGCTCCTATTCCATCAAGAAAGAAATATCGTACCGTTCAAGAGACAAACAGAAAACCTCGCACCAGTAACCTGATTAAGTGGCGAAGACCTCCGAAACATGGCTACCAACTTTGCTCATGGTATAGAAACTTGAACTTCGTTGGTAATAAGAGTAATCCTCTGCATACTCCTGCCTTGTTGCCTCTTTATTCAAAATGGAGTTTATCTTCTTTGAATTCAAGTGTAAGTACTTCTTGTTTTGCATTTGCTCGTGAGCTGCCATGCACTGTTCCGTCTCGTAGCGAACGACTTTCTCTTGCATCTTTCTCATTAACTTCGCACTCTCGTCGACACTCCAGTCATTCAAGATATGGACGATTAGCCTCTGTAAATCACATCAAGTATGCTTCTACTTCCGTGTTGAATATAACTTCTTTAGGGTTCGACAAGGCGCCAACTTCTGTTTTTTCTTGTGATCCAACTACTCTTCTTGGGAGTGCTACCAAGCCTGTGATGAGAAACCAGAGTTGTGTTTGCAGTGCTTCAACAGATCGATCATTGCGAACGTTTTCTACAGCGTATGTTGACAAGTCTAACCATTGCGTTCTTAGTGGTGACAACTGTTTAAACAAGACGAACAGCAGGCGTAAAATCTCACTATCCGGGAAGGATTTGAATGCCTCGCATGTTTATAGGTCATCCATTTTCATCGTGCTCAGGCCATCGTGCGTATCTTCAACGCTATCTTCATTTTTACCTGCTCTTAAGCAGGGTGAAGAATTGAACACAAACTGCCTCGATCAAACTGAAATTGCGTCTGAGAAACAAGCTCTGGAAAATAAAAAAGAAATCCACGCAGAAGAGTGCATCGAATATTCAAAAGAAACCTGTACGTTCGTGTCTAGAGCTCACTTTAAGTTTTGGGAAGAACCACAGGAAAACACTGCAGATGTAATATGGCCTGCGTCTGAATTGTATTCCTGTCGTAATGCCATTAGTCCCAATGAAAATTCTAAGGCATTCATTAGGAAAATGTACTCACGTGAAGCCAGTGATAAAAGCTGCGACACGCACTCCGATGCCTCAGGACCCCAATCAATGGCACATTATGTTGAAGTGGTTTTCAATGTCTCTGCTTCTTCCCATCTGGCACGTTGCTCTGATGCTTTGAGCTTCAGATCATCAGACTCGGGAGGCGTGATGGACTACACAGGTTGTCATTACGAAAAAGAATATTGCCACCTAGACTTGGCAGCAAGAAGGGACTTGAAAAACTTCAAGATAATTGACTATTCTTCTAATCGGAACAGCTTGACTGATAGCACTCCTTCATTCTACTTAACTGACCTACCGATTCTGTCCCAGCAACGACATATTGGAGACATGAATTTTCCGACCACTGAAACAAATTTGAAATTTTTAAGTAACAAACACGCTCCCAGTCGACAAGATGTACCTGAGAAAGTTTGCAAGTGTGTGAGATGCATTTCATGTGCTTCTTGTGTATCTGGCCGTGTACGGCCACCGCTGTCCAATTCTGCGGAGGTTCTTAACGTCTCTCCGGTTTATGTGTCTGCTCTCTATGCTCACTGGTGGATGAAAGCCATAGTGTTGCCTGTAGATAGCAATGATTCTTTTAATGCTAAGTAATGTTTAGTTTATGTTCAAGTAATGATTTGTTTATGTTCTAATGATTTAGTTTGTGATTTAGTAGTGATTTGTTTAGTTCAAGTTGAATATAAGAAGCATAGTTGAGGAGGTTCTTAACATATCACCCGTTTATGTGTCTGTTCTCTACGCGCACTGGTGGATGAAAGCCATAGTGTTGCCTGTAGATAGCGATGATTCTCTCAATGTTAAGTAATTTCTTTGTTTAGTTCAAGTTGAATATAAGAAGCATTGTTGCTTAGCAAATAGTGGGTCTCTGTACTCGTTCAACTCTAGTTTATTTCTTGCATTCTACCTACCTTTTTTATCTACATTTTTACCCTCGATCATTTTCCTTGCATTGGTACAGCATGACTGGCATTTAAAGCTTGCCTTATATGTCGTTTCCATTTGCCCTCGTCTATTGCTTTAAGAAATAATCATGCATATTGCTCTTGAGCATTCAAACTTGTATCTAAGTCCAATGACTAGTATTGCAATTCCATACATGAAATATCTCAGAATATCAGTGACCCAGCCTTCTTCTCTGGGTTGCATTCAGTATATCAATGTAGTTTTTTATTTGTGCCTTTCAGATTTTGTATTTTCATGTTGTAAAAAATCGTTCAAACCGCACATCTGACTAATGGTTTGGTGGCTTATCATTATTTTTAAATAAACTCAATTATGGCATCTCATCTTTGCCATTTGGGTTGTAATTGACAGAGAAGGTGGAAGCTATGACCACTACCGTAAAATGGGGTAACTTAGACCACTTTTTTTTATAAATGATGCCATTTTTTTACTAGCTAAATTAAACTTGAATTGAAACATGCAAAATACAGGTCTATACTCTAGCTTCACTCACCATAAATTGCTGGCTCCTGCCTCTCATAGTCTTTATATGTAGCCTCAGTATTAGGCCTTTAATGCCCATTGACAAAATTTTTCTATGTCAAATAGTTTTTGAGTTGTGGGGGTTTTTGTTAAAAAAACGAAAAGTGGTCTAAGTTACCCCGCTGGTCTAAGTTACCCCATTTTACGGTAACTCTTTAGGGGGCGATTAATGTAATATCAGTTGTTCTATTCACTGATGGATAGCATAAATAACTAAGAGAATTTACTGAAACTGAAAAATTGTTTGTTGGGCTCTGCCCAATATTTGGTAGTTATGATGAACCAAATGTGGGTCTTGAATACTTCATTTCATTTGAGACTTTGTAATCCTTTTATTTTGTCCTATTTATGTCTTACTATTAAATTGACTATATTCTATTCTTGCATCCTTGTGTTCTGTGTCTGTATACTTCTTAATTAAATAATAAATCTGCAAGATTTTATCTTACTACCGAGATGCATTTCAGGCTACATGCTGTCAGTGAACTGCAGACATCATAAACAAGCATGCATTTCCTTCATGCCATCCAAGTATATTTGATAAGAGTACCTCTTGAATGAATAATCTCATTTCTAAGATTGCTATACTAAGAATTTTAGAGTATAAATTCCAACACCATAAATGCAGGATGAAGCCCTTCATAGCCTTAATATAAAAATAAAGCTTCAAATAATATGTACCTGAAGGCAAATGAAGAGATAAATTGAAATGATACAAGCGTAGATTGAGCAAATGAGTAAGCTAATCCTCAGACCGCAAAGACATGCTTTGATATTTTATTGAATGCCAACTAGTCAATTCCAAGAGTAACAAATTGAAAGTTATTAAAATGACATAGCCATTTACTTCCATTATTTTTATTTGTTGCTCCCAATCAATTTACTGGCAAGCCAAGTCATTGAATGATGAAGCTGAGCATTGAGTCTGGGGCTAGATTAAGAGTTGCATTTCTGACCAACATTTGGGCCCTTTTTTTGATATTGTTTAGTAAATCATCTAATGACACAGTTTGTTATTTGATGTTACACTACCTATTGCAAATGCTTTGATTGTTGCCCTATCCAAGTTATTCCTGCCGGCTAAATATGTGTGCTTTATTCTCTTGTAAATTTTGGTAAATTATGAAAATTATAAGAGCATGCACTCGTACATCACATGCATAAAGAGTTGTGTAATGATAGAATTATGCTCATTATTAAAGTGCGAACATTTACATTGAGTTGAATTTTATTGTCGATTAAATTCTTCATTCTGTTGACAATTTCAGTCAGAAACCGTTAGTTTGTTGCAGCGATTAATTAGAGTTCCTTCATAGGGAGTATCTTGCCATGATCAAATGTTGGATCGCTAGAATGTAGTTGGCAAAATTGCTTAATGAGTACTGAAGGTTTTAGCTATCTGGGTAGTGAGCTTCCGTCTCTGCTCTGCCTGCTCGTCTGTCCAGAGTGAGTTGCATGTCAACTGGATGCCATTACTACTTTGTTTTTGACTGCATCGTTTTGGGCTAAAATTTATAATATTCTGGGTTTTTTTATGGTGTTTCTCAAGATTTTTTAACTCTTACAACCTCAATTGCTTTGAAAATGACTTTTCTGTAGAATAAACTTCAATACATACAAGAATTTAGCTGAAGCACCTTAACAACCTTTTCTGTTTTGAGTCTCCTAAACTTAGGTTTATGTTTGGTGTGTAATAAATTATATTTTAGCTGAGCGTTTTCAGTGGTTTCCTTAATGGGATCAATTTTCATTAGCATAAATCTCTTGCTTCTTTTATTTTTTTTTAATCTTATGGCAAGTAAATTCTTTGAGGAATTGACATTATTATAAATAATTACTCTTCATGCTTTATGTACCAAGGCTTCCTTTCATAATGTTTGATGTGGGCTAGACAATAAATATTTATATAATGAATTTATTACTTGACACACACTGATTATTGACTTATTGTCTGTGTAAGACGTTGCATGTTTCTGTAGGTAACTGGCAAGATCCCAAAGTAATTGACAGGTGTTCATTGTTATATGACCACTGAAGTAAGATAGAGATAGAACAATCTGAGAAAATTGATTTCAGCCTTAGCATAAAATTACCTGTCTATTTAAATTAAGTGCATAAAAAATAAAGTTGACTTGGTATTGAATATTGCAAACTAAAGTTCCCTTCCCTTCCTCTCATTGTTATAATTTCTTGCATCATGATGCCAGAAAAAAGAAGCTAAGCAAACTGATTTTGTCAAACAATTATACTTCTACCTGAAAATGGGCAATAAACTCTTATACAAACACTTCTCTGCAACCTGACTCCTATTAAGTAGGTTGTGGTGATTAAATATGGCTGAAAATCTGTTCAGAATATTTACAATGCTGTAGAAATATTTCATTGCTTCTTGCTTCTACTGCAAAATAAATAACTATAACCGGTACCCCTCTTCCTCTGCAAGAAGAGTGTGTGACTGCATGCTACTGCTCTGAAATATTTTGGGCAGTTATACTGCTTGTACTTTTAGGATTATTTAAGGTCCATATCTTGCTGAAGAACAGGCAGTTCCTGTTGTAAATGTTCATAATTGGGATCCTTTTACAGAAGAAGCACATGTCAAGAGGCCATAGCAACTTGTTTGAATATTCAAAATGGTATATAACCATTACTGTACTAATTTTACTGTTAAGGCCATGTGTTTGATTGTCATTAGCATCAAAATTTCGGTTAAAAAATTCATGTTCATTTCTTTGAAAGTGAAGTTAGCTGCAAGGTTTCTAAATTTCTTCACCTGGAGTATCAACTAAGTTTCTCGCATGATTAATACCCAGCTGCAGATTACATATGTTGGATAAAGAGTGGTTTTCTTTGTGCAAACCTTTTTTCCTTTGCTTTCTCTAAGAACCTGTAATTTCAATTGCTAGCCTTCAAGACAAAATATTGCCTGTCATTGGAAGTATCAGTTACACAAATGGCTTGAGGGGCTTTTTTCTTACACATTTGTCAGTGTTGTAAAATTTAAATTTCTCATACCTACCACAATTATAAGCTATACATGCCAATAAATTTCATACTTTATCATCAGCAGGGATTCTAATGGATGTCATTTCAAATTATTATTAGATTCATTTTAAACCATCAGTGTATTCCTCAAAAATTTCCCTTGCCTAATATAATTATAATAATTGTTTTTATGCACCTTTTTTTATTCTTTGTTTGCTTTTTTTTCCTTTTCATTCATTATTGATATTCTCTCATATTCTTTACTTTTATTAATTTTTCTTCTTGCTACTCTCAACATAATCCAGATTTACGAGATTTTTGTCAGAAGTTCTGTGTTAGACAAATTTTTGTCTGAATTTTTGTATTAGATAAATTTCTGTCACAAAGACTGTATTAGACAGATTTCTGTTAGAAGTTTTGTATTAGACAGATTTCTGTCAGAAAGACTGTATTACACAGATTTCTGTCTGAATTTTTGTATTAGACAGATTTTTATCATAATTTTTTGACAGGTTTATTGTGTGCTGCAAGGTATCGAGCCTTGCACTGTTCCTAGTCAATTGTCAGGTGCATTTGCCCTGAGATCTGATATGTTCACTATTGATGTTCACATTTAGGCTCACTGTTACTTAATGTTGAATTTGAGCTTTTAAATTCTGTATTCTAGATTTCCAAGTTATCTTATAGTTTTAATCTGTTACATGTCATTGTCCAAGTATAATGTTGTGCATACAACATTTGGACTCGAGTCAAGCAGCTATTAGTTACAGAGGGGGTTGGTAACCTTTGAATTTCTGTTATTATTTCTGTGAAGATTTGGGATTCCTAAGGATCAGCACAAATATCAAATGTGACAATTCAATTCATTGCTGTGAGCTACTTCCTACAGGTGGCATAATGTTACTTTTTATGTATGACACAAGAAAATTTACTCTCCCGAAATTTTTTATCATAAGATTGTCATGCAGATCCAATTCTTTTTATTACTTGTACAATCTGTTTTTTTTTCTCTTTTCAAAAGCTTGAATTGCGCAGGCCTGAGTGCAAAAATATATAGTGATTCTAAAATGTTTCAATTCTTTGCATTAAAGTTAATGGAATATAGTGAAATTATTCTAGTTATCAATTATAGGAGGTCAAATCAATATTATGTTGCATGACTAGTAAAATGTGGACATTTTCATCATCGGTCGCTATAGAAATTATTGTTTATGTAATATCTTGTTTAATGCTGATAATAGTATAGAGACATTTTATGGTAACGAGTAACTGCAATAGTTGAGTGAATGCTAAGAGGTACAGTACCTACGTCAATAAAAGTGGGCAAAACCTCTAACCTCACAATTCCTGGTCACTGGTTTCGTGTTAGAAGCTTTGAGTTTGCAAGTATCCAAGAAAATGCAAATTGATTTTTATCTCCTGCTTGATAATAGCAAAATATACATCCGTAGCATTTTCCCCTAAGGCTGTGTGGTGGCTAACATGGAAAGTTATTTTTTGTTGGATTGGTTACTCCTGGTTTAATTTTCTCCTTTTCATATTGCTGAAATAAATATTTTTTTATGAGTTTCAGTTAAGTGTGTTCTGAGTACACGATAACAAAGCTAAAATGATGTATTCACTGATCATTTTACTGACTAATTATGTTTATTGGCAATTAAAGCAAAAATTACATTTACCGTACGCATTGTTTATTGGTTTGTTTTCTGGTATTTTCTTTAATTTGAATGATGTGACTCCGGTATTTCAAATTACCTTTAGATAAGAATAATTTTATAATTCTTCACACATGATTACATGGTTTTATATCATCTTGTTTTATCCAATGTTATTATGATGCACTAGTATCCTAATTTCTTGTTACCTGTCATGATAACTTTTCCTTTATTTATTTATGATTCTTTAGTAAATTATATGCTGTCATTTAAAATAATAGTTTGAAATATTAGGCAATAATTCTAGAGTAGGAAAGAGATTAATCAATTGTATGGAGTTATTCATTTGTCCCACATTGAGTTGAATTCACATGAGTTGAATTATTGAGTTGAATTATTATTGAGTTGAATTATCATGCCTAGGTATATGTTTCATTAAATAAAAGCTGGATTTACAATACTTTTTAGGTACATACAATAATATCTTGGGCTCCTTGCTGTCTTTGTGTCAGAAAATGTTAGCTTCCACTTCATGTGAATTAATAATTAATAATTAATTAATTAAACTTCATGTGCATGATAATTATTTTTGCACTTGATAATATAATAATTTATTATTTGTAAACGTCAAATTTTCTGATTTTTGAACAGATATTATGCATCCATTTAAAAAAATATATTTATGCTTTTTAATCAATCACTACAAATTTGTCTTGCCTCAATGTACGTTAGCTTCCACTTCACATGCCTGATGATTATTTTTGCACCTAATAATATGATAACAATAATTTATTATATGTAATTAAATGTTTTTCTGTTCTTTGAACAGATATTATGCACCCATAATAAAAATTTATTTATCTGCCTCAGTGTACAATGAATGAATATCATTATGCATCCATCCATATTAAAAACGTATTCATGTTCTGTATCAATAGCTACAAATTCGTCTTGCTTGAATGTACAATAAATGAATATCATACATGACTTGTGAGTTATGTTACTCGTGCCTCCACAGACCCGGGCACCGGAGGCCTCCAAGGTGCCGGCTGGAGGACCAAAGCCCTGGAGCTTGTGCGATCTGCGCCCCACCCCACCCATCAGACCCTCCCACCTTGCCCGCCTCCGCACCTAGGGTGTAGGTGCTCTGGACCAGGCAGGGGGTGTAGGTGCTCTGGACCAGGCAGAGTGTAGGTGCTCTGGACCAGGCAGGGTGTGTAGGTGCTCTGGACCAGGCATTTAGGTGCTCATTTGTTATGCTTCTCTGAAAACTGAATATATAGACTACATTAATTATGGCTCACTTGGTTCAGCTAAATTCTTCGAAAGTTATATAAATTTTTCTCAATCTTCCTGCAAAAATACAAATTAAAAATGCATCTGGAAGCAAGCCTTAAATTCTTTAAAGATGATTCATTTGCTTGCTGTTGGTTTAACAAAATTGTTGAGGAAGAACAGCAACACGTGCAACACAAAATCCCTTTGGATGAAATTGAATTAGCGTCATTCAAATTGAAGACGCTAAGATTTCTACACAATCTTGAAATGCTATCGAATTTCACACACGTCATACATTCTCCAGACGACACCATGCCGTGAAGTTTGTCATAATGACGATGCAGTCATTGCTAACTACTGCAATTAGTATCAATTTATTATTTTCAGAACTAGACTAATTTTTTGGTAAATGTTAGTAATATGGATGATTTACTTCATAAATAATCATTGAAAATGCAATTTTTTGTATTTTTTTGTTGAGTTATCGTCTCCCATGCTGCCTCCTATATAAACTATATAATAGAATATATATTGTATTATTATTAATGTTCGCCTATGTTGCCCAGACACAGTTAGAATATATATTGTATTATTATTAATGTTCGCCTATGTTGCCCAGACACAGTTAGAATATATATTGTATTATTATTAATGTTCGCCTATGTTGCCCAGACATAGTTAGAATATATATTGTATTATTATTAATGTTCGCCTATGTTGCCCAGACATAGTTAGAATATATATTGTATTATTATTAATGTTCGCCTATGTTGCCCAGACACAGTTAGAATATATATTGTATTATCAATAATGTTCGCCTATATTTCCCAGACGAGCGTCTGCATGACGACGACAACCTCCTCCTGCGCGTGGTGGAGGCCTACTGTGCTTCTGCTGCGACACGGCCCGCGCCTGGTGAGTGTACTGCAGTTCTCTGATAATTCAGTGCTTCCCAAAGTGGGCGATAACGCCCCCCTGGGGGCGGTGGAAAGATCTGTAAGGGCCTTTGGAAAGATCTGTGTTTAACCTTTCTCTTTCAAAATTGCAGCAAACTAAACATCAAGAAAGAGGCATTTGTTTTTATATGTGTCTGTCGTTGGGGGGGGGGGGGCTATGGATTCATTGGGGAGCCAAGGGGGGCGCCAGCCTGAAAAAGTTTAGGAACCTCTGTGAGTTATATGCTTATGGTTAACTTATTAATGCTGCCTTACAGCAACTAAAGTTTCTGCATCTATAATGCATAAATCAAGTTCATAAAGCAACACGTCAAGTTCATAAAGCAGTACATCAACTTCCTAAAGCTACACGTCAAGTTCATAAAGCAACACATCAAGTTCCTAAAGCAACACATCAACTTCCTAAAGCAACACATCAAGTTCATAAAGCAACACGTCAAGTTCCTAAAGCAACACATCAAGTTCCTAAAGATTTATTCTAGTCACTGTTGTGTCAGTCATCGTAGTTTGTGCTGAGGCCGCCGTCTCAAGAGAGGCACAGTTCATACTATCGGTCTACCGAAGAATTCTTGATAAACGGTGTCAGCAAATATGCTGTTGTCAGAACTTGATCACTGAGTTCAGTGATACATCAACCTACGAGTGCCTAAACGTGCGAATTTTTCCAGATACGAAAAGGAGGCTCGCGAGTTTTAGCCTCCGCATACAAAAATGTCTCTGCTTACGAACCGATCATCCGTTTGGAATCATAACGCATTTTTAGCGCATTTTCTCTTTATAGAAAAAATGCACTATTGTGCTCGCCATGTCTGTCTGTCCGTCCGTCTGTTCGTCCGTCCATGACTTCACGTTTTCGTCGACGAGAAAATGCGCTCTCTGTCACTCATTGCAGTGAGTACTGAGTTATATTTTTTATTGTTCGCAGCATCCTTTCTCTACTCGCATAATGTGGCCACTCCATCTGAGCGTGAGATCGCTGCAACATTTCCGGTATTATTATTTTCTGTTTTGCCGTAACATATCCGTTTTTTTGTATTTCATTTCTATATTCCGTCAGTCAGACATAATTCGGTCGAATGCTTTGTCGATTCTACAAAGATTTGGTGAATGATATGCTTGGGACATCGGATATTCGGATTAATTGATGATTTTTTAATTCAATATTTATAACTATGTACGTTCTTTGTTATTGATTACATACAACATAGAAATAGGGAAAAAAGGTAACTTCTGGGATAGTGTGGCGCTCATTTTTCACCTTTAAATTATTTCTTTTTTTTAAATATTGTTTCCACCACGAACATTTCCTTATACAAACGCTGTCACAGAACGAACCAAGTTCATCGGTATATGGGTTAAAGTATCACTGTATCTTATATGAAGATTTGTTGTAGTTTCTGGGGTGTTCTCGTTTGTAATGAGGTGAGAACCAAAATATTCAAAAGATTTGTCTGACGAGGAATAGATACAATTGTTTAAGGGCGGCCGGTGACCACCCTTTCATGCTTGTAATGACGTAACCTAATGATCCCTGCTTCAGTGATATGTGTTTCTTCTAAATTCAAATAGTTTTTAAAACTGAGAACAATTGAGCTGATTTTGCTTGGAAAACGCTTACAACGTCGGACGTTGCCATAATTATGGGTGCAGAACCACTGAACCTCCTACTCGCTTAATTACGTATTTACGCTTAATTTTGTTTGCTCAATGGTTACGATCACTGGTCTACAATTCTTTTCATCTGTACATCAGTCTTATGATTTACAAATGTAACAATCGTATTGAATCTCATTTTAATTTTTCTTACCTATCTAAAATTTTTGCTTAATTCAACTTCAGTAAATTGGCTCGTTCGCAGCTGCTCGTTTTGTGAGCCACGAGTATAAATAAAGTCCTGTGCTTGGGTGAACAATTTAACTGGGAGACGCAAATGACTTGTGAGGTTAATACGGACTGCCTATACAGTCGAGTGGCATACCGTTTTCCATTGGTTGCAGAGTACCAAGAAATTAGAAGTGTTCTTCATTATCATTATCAGCATTATATGTAAACAATTACAAGAACATAGGCTTTGTCAGAGGTTACATAATGCGTAGTCTACACGGTCACTTTATATTTTTGTACGAGTTACTCTAAGCACACTAGTAGCCGCTGTCAGCCACTGAGCACACTGTACGAGGTGGTCGCTATGTCCAGTCGTCTCTTTCTCCTTTTGCGCGAAGAGATTTTAGTTTGGAAAATTGTTCGTATCTTACGCTTTAGGCTTTCGCCTTTGGCGCGAAGAGATTTTCGTTTGGAAAATTGTTCGTATCTTTCGCTTTAGGCTTTCTCCTTTTGCGCGAAGAGATTTTCGTTTGGAAAATTGTTCGTATCTTACGCTTTAGGCTTTCGCCTTTGGCGCGGAGAGATTTTCGTTTGGAAAATTGTTCGTATGTTTGGCTTTAGGCTTTTTTCTTTTGCGCGAACTATAATGAACTATAACTATAATGAACTTTCTCCTACGTTTGGAAAATTGTTCGTATCTTTCGCTTTGGGCTTTTGCCTTTTGCGCGAAGAGATTTTCGTTTGGAAAATTGTTCGTATGTTTGGCTTTAGGCTACAGCAGCATACGCAGCGACCCTGAGGAGCTTTCGCCCTTTGGTGGTCAGCTGCTGCTGGGGGGCACGTCACGCCCTGCACACGCCTGGTGTTGCGGCCTCGCCATCAACGCCATCAAGAGGAACGTTAACAACTTCAACTGATTTCAACTTATTCAACTTCAAGAGGAACGTTAACAACTTCAACTGATCTATGTTGCTTTAACGCATGAATCTTTTACCGCGTGCGCTTCAAAATATTTCATGATGTTTACGTGTAGAATAATCTCGGATGATTGACAACGAATTGTTAACTAACCAAGGAAATATTACCTTACTAGATCCTTATCTAGTCAGCGTGTGCGCTAATAATGGCCAGTAGGTAGTGTTACTGAAAGAACCTTTACCTGAGTGCGCTTCGAAATCCTTCATGGATCCTACACGCATGGATCCTTCGGACGTGTAGAATAATCTCGGAAGATTGACAATGAATTTTTAACTAACCAATGAAATAATAACTTATTAAATCCTTATCTAGTCAGTGTCTGCGCTAGTAATTGCCAGTAGGAACTGTTATTGTGATCCTAGCTGCCAGACGCGTGAGCTGGGGATGACATTTTTTGTCTGCATAAAAAAATGTCTCAGAATAATTGATTAACTACTAGCAACCCTCTCTTCAACAAGCCACAGACTTGCAGACCCAAGCATTGAAAGCCAGCCAGGAATGATTTGATATGATTATCTTCCTATCTTTCCATTAGAAAACATTTTTATGAAAAGAAAACTAGCAAATTTTCTTCTGTTTTACTAAGTTAAAAATTTTGTAGACACTCATTGATGAAATCCTGCGCCTGTGAAATGAACGCTTCTCATCTATTGAGCCTTGAGAATTCTAGAACTGATAGCGGTATTTTCTTGCTCATTATTTTCCCTACCAACGAATTTCTACGTAACGATAAGAAGCTGAAAATTCATGAATGATCAGCTGGAATAAATATTTGTTTCGTCGTTTTTTTATCTCTGGCTGCATTAGATAGCATTAGTGTTTTTTGTGAGCCAAAGTTCCTCTACTCTATGGAAGCGTTATTTGTTTGAAACTTTTAAGAGGCTTGTAACTTTTTTGTGCTGTTCAGCCATGTACATGAATGTTGTGATTTTCGTTCAATTCTAATATTCTTTTCTTAGTCACAGCTTTATTATTTATCAAGAATATTTCATTGGATGCAACAGATTGATATCATCCATTGCTTAAACTATATATATCCGGGCTTCCTGAATGTTGATATTTCAATAATCACCTACGTGAAGTATGCCTACGTGAAGTATGCCTACGTGAAGTGTACCTACCTGAATTATACCTACTTGAAGTATAGTATAACTACGTGAAGTATAGCTACGCAATTTTTCACGTAGGGTAATGACGACGAATTTTCGCCAAGTAGAGTTGTTCGCTGTGCTCGCTGACTCGCGTATAGCTCCGTATTAGTGAGCCGCGATGTTTGTGACGCCAAGAGGTGCCAGTCGACCACGTAGAATAATGAACTAACGACGAAGAATAATGAACTAACGACGTAGAATAATGAACTAACGACGAAGAATAATGAACTAACGACGAAGAATAATGAACTAACGACGTAGAATAATGAACTAACGGGGCAATAACCACCATCCTTAGCCGGAAAAATTACGCACGCCCTATCTACCTACAGAGAGGAACGTTAGAATTTATTCTTGTTGCCTCAAAACTTTAGTGATTGTTCCTGAGTTTGAAGCTTTATGATGGTTTTACATTAAAACGCAAAGATTTAATTCGAAATAATTCAGATTTCTGTGACGTTTACTAATAATATTTTAATCGACCTGAAAATTATTGAAAATTATTAGTTTTATTACTGCCTTTGGCTTCATAAATTCTTCGAATTTCATAATTCTTCATAAATTCTTCGAATTTATGACAGAGATTTTCGTTACATAAATTCTTCGTATTTATGACAAATGCAAGAGGTTATCAGCTTGCGACGTATCCAGGGCTAATCTTCCCGTCTGTCTTTGTTAAAGCCATGCGCAGTGAACAGCCGCGACTGAGGTGAGAGATTCGTAGTGTTTGCCTGTGTTCTCGTCGTACGAATTAACAAGAATGAATTGTTATTTTGTAGCATAACCTTTGAAGTTGCGTCTGGCAAACAGGGCCTATACTTTCAAAAAAAGGTTAAGAGATCGTAAGTTCATCAGCCAATCATTGACGTCCTTTCAAGCAAAATCAATCAATCATAGACAAGAAAATAGAGCGTAAGTACTTACGTTCACTTAGCGAGTTTTGAAAGTATGACCCTGGTCTCATTTCTTTGTTCATTTGTTGATTTCACAAAATAAGATGTCACCAGCCTACCATTTTCACAGACCTTGAAGTTGCAATTTGGTGATCTGGCTTTTATTATTCACTTTTATTTAATTCGTATTAGATTTTTTTTTGCTCGTTGTCGTTCACACTTGATTTTTTTCAAACATATATTTGTTTCCTAATCCAGCCTGTGCTCATGGTGTAAACACTCTAATTTACGAGATATTCGTGTTTTCAGAGTTTGATTGAAGTGTGTTTTCGCCTATATTTTATCTGCCGCCGGAAATTTTTGAGCCTCATGTGGTTGAGGACATACGAGTCCCTCAGTATTTCTCCAGCATGTCGAAAATATTTACCTATTCATACACAATTTTCATGAAAGATCCCTCGTCTTTGGCTCCTGTTTCCACGCCTTTGAGCCTGATGTTTAACCCTCTACCGCCTGACACGAGTAACCGGAGCAATATTGTCACGCGCCTACTTCCCAAAAAGGATACGTTCCAGTGAGCGCAAAATGACTTTCACTGATGTTTGCCGCCACGTACGACAACTTTAAAATGTTCTCTGTTGCGTACAAACGTCCTCAGGTTGCTACACTCAATAGTTTACGTATAATTTAAGGGGACCGCCCTAGCTAAAATTTGAAAATTTTGAGTTTTTCTGTTTCTTATCTCATCTTAAAGGTTGTTTTCTTGCGCATCGAACGGTATAAGTATCGTCCCTGTACGTCGAAAAATGACTTTGTGACAGCTCCTCAAAGGGAGGCGGGTTTTAGGTCCCTTAACAAAACTCTACGAGGATAAATGACGCGCTGGTCACTCCACAAAGGAAGGCCTGGCATTAAGCAGCCAATCATGGCACTAAAGTGGGCATAGTCTTGTTTGAAAGAGCACTTTCTTACGCATCGATTGGTGGTACACCCATCTATGTACCTCCATTTTCTACTGCACCACGCCCCATAGAACGGGGGGTGGGGGTGGGGGCGGCCTTAAGTAATTCCTAAGGCACTAATTACGGGGCGTGACTACTAAAATTGCGAGCTGAAGCCAAACCTCTCAGTGCCCATCATGACAGCGACGTGAAAGGTGTGCAGCCAGTTGCTCCATACCTTCTTGAATGGTTTAAGGCTAAGTTACGGTATCTTGGCTGCGTTGCGACTCTTTTATGTCTATTTAAGTGCCGCGCGGGCAGTCTTTTGGCCGTACTGTAAACCTCATACTGCTCTCACGGCAAATCTATCTCCTCCTACAGTTTTCAAGCTACAGCAATGAGACATATACCATTCGATTCGTAAAGACCAGGCCTATCGACTCTAACATCACTTTTTTGAATTTCGGTCTGGTTCGTTTTTTATATGGGGGAGAAGGGGGGGGGAGGGGTGAAAAATGAGAAAAAATGGGAAAAATAGAAAAAAACGCAATAAAAAAACTAGTTGGAAAATGAAAAAAGTGATGTTAGAGTCAATAGATATGGTCTTTACGAATCGATTGATACGTGTCTCGATGTTGTAGGATGATATTTGTGGGAGGAGATAGATTTTCTAAAGTACCCCTTTTTAGCCGTTTTCTATGAATTTCACGTTTTCTATCAATTTTTTCGAAAAATTCATAGGAGCAAAATGTTTTTTTTTTTACATTTTACGTATGTATGTGAAGTTTCATGACAATCGGATAATAACTGTAGAAGTTTTCGTATGCTAGGGCGGTCCCCTTAAGTTGAAAGTTTAACTTTAAAATGTTCTCCGTTGCGTACAAACGTCCTCAGGTTGCTACACTCAATAGTTTACGTATAATTCAAGTTGAAAGTTATGTTCCTGGAGAGTGACGTGCGGCGGTAGAGGGTTGACTGTAAAAGTTATCACCGGTAGCTCCCTATCCTGGTCACATTATTTCAAGGGGCGTGTCAAGCACGAATGTAAGGTTAGATTAGCACGATTTGCTTTTTAGCGCATTTTCTCATTTATGGAAAAAATGCACTATTGTGCTCGCCATGTCCGTCCGTCTGTCTGTCTGTCTGTCCGTCCGTCTGTCCGTGACCTCAAGTTTTCGTCGACGAGAAAATGCGCTCTCTGTCACTCACTGCAGTGAGTACTGAGTTATATTTTTTTATTAGTGTCTCTAGAACAAACTGAAATCTTATTGAAATTCAAACCCCTATATACGAAATTATACTTATTTTGTGTGTGCTTTGTTGTGTGAGCAGTGTTAAACCTGAGCAGCGTTTTTGTTACCAATCTTCTGAATTTGAAAAAAATTACGTGATATTCTCTGCAGACGCGATCCCGATTCGCTATACTGAGAAGCTTTCAAAATGAATGTAGTCTCCAAAATTGGAACTGGTGCTCGTTTTTTCGAAATTCAGCAACAAGTTTTAATTTATTTGCTCGGTCGTCAAAAAAAGCCATGTTTTGTCTCATTCTCGAGTTTTGGTTTAGATTATTTTGATGCCATCTGACGACTTCGCATGGATGAAAGTTAGACACCTTTATCAATTATGTCTAGTGCTAAACTTTTACAAAAATATTTCAAGCAATGTTTGATGTTTTGACGACCGCAATACTTTAAGTTGAAATTTTTTAGATGTTCTAACTACCCCTAATTCGCAGGAGCTGACAGCTCCTACAGTCGGGACCACGACGTGCGACTGGACCCAGCCTCGCCTCCTGATGCGAGGTGAATGTTTATGGGCAATAAATAAGAGCATAAATGAATTTTCCGCCTTATTTGTGCCATAAATGTGCACTCTAGTGTCCTCAGAAAAGCGTTTGCTGCATTGGTCACTATCATTGAACGATATAAGTCGTCGACAAAAAAAGTTATAACATAAGTTCGTTGACGACATAAGTCATCAACGAAAAATTTCTCATTTCTCTAAGCAAATGCAAAAAGATAAATTGGCAATGTTGCGGAGTTCTCAATTGATTTATCTCATTAGCGTGGTTGCTGGTAAGAAGTCTGCTTTATTATTGATATACAATGTTTATTATTGATATACAATGTTTATTATTGATATACAATGTTGTGTTTCAAACCGATTAAGTTTTTCTAATAGTCGTTTATCTCGAGAATTCAGCAATAAGTTGATTATGAGACAGTGATGTATGAATACGAATTTAATGAAGTTACTACCTATATCAAGACAGGTCTATACCTATTTAAAGCGCTTTTTATCCATTACTATGATCAAGGTTGTCATTTGAAGGCAGCTTCTGTACACTATTGCTGATCCTGTCAATGTATAAAATGGAATTGTATTGTTTATTCGATATTGGTATTGTAGAAAAGAGGCTTTCTTTTTGTCATCGATGATAATTTCCAATATTTTAAACAATACTTTTTGTTATTTATTGCTAATCAATTGAATATTGAAAAAATGACTTTATTCGTTACTGCTACTCAATTGTTTTTATTCATTAATGCTAGTCAATTGTTTGTTTATTCTAATCAATTGTTCCTCGATTATTGCTGAATGCTGAGTCACCTACGTGTTGAATTCTAAATGTTTCATATTATTCAATTCTAAAGTACTATTTCAGAATAGATATCAGATTCAACAGTCAACGCTTCCATGACGATAGCTTTAACGATCTGGCGCATCATTTCTGATTGGTGGCATATTCGATTAGCTCTGTATTACAAAACAAAATCACTCCGTCGAAATTAAAGGAAAGTTCCAACCAGGCCACTATAGTTATGCTTGCTGAACGTTATGACCGAACGTTCTTACATCTGACAGAACATATGACGTTTTTTTTAATAAGCCTGAAATTTACCGATCACTTGGCGGATTTTAGTGAAGTCGGCCCGCGTCAATGCCAGCCACGGAACATGGATGCTACGACATATTAGGGCTCTTTCACACATTTCTGAATACGTCTGTGATGCAATTAATTTCTTAAAAATTATTCCAGTTATTTTTTGTTAGCGTCCTTGAAACTAAAGTTACGTTCCCCTTTGCAGAATGTTGATTGAGGTGGAGCACCTGAAGTCGGAACTGAGTCGCCTATCGCACGACCACAGACAGCTAAAGCAGCAGTTCGAGCGCGAAAGAGCCTCTAATAAATTCCTGCGCTCTGTCGCGCAGCAGATTGTGCCACCACCTCCCCTTAACTGATGAAGCCGTCCTGTTGTTGTTAGTTGCCCGGGACCGCTGCTCGGGGACCGCCCGGGACCTATATCAAGACAGACCCGGGACCTATATCAAGACAGCCCGGAGCCTGCTGTTGTTGTTAGTTGCCCGAGACCGCTGCTCGGGGACCGCCCGGGACCTATATCAAGACAGACCCGGGACCTGTATCAAGACAGCCCGGGACCTGCTGTTGTTGTTAGTTGCCCGAGACCGCTGCTCGGGGACCGCCCGGGACCTATATCAAGACAGACCCGGGACCTATATCAAGACAGCCCGGAACCTGCTGTTGTTGTTAGTTGCCCGAGACCGCTGCTCGGGGACCGCCCGGGACCTATATCAAGACAGACCCGGGACCTATATCAAGACAGCCCGGAACCTGCTGTTGTTGTTAGTTGCCCGAGACCGCTGCTCGGGGACCGCCCGGGACCTATATCAAGACAGACCCGGGACCTGTATCAAGACAGCCCGGGACCTGCTGTTGTTGTTAGTTGCCCGGGACCGCCCTGAAAACTTTTCGGACCTGCTGCGAGCCGTCCTGCTCGCTAGGTTCCTCTTCATCTTATGCGTTATTGGCAACTCTAGTTTTATAATCTGATCAATATAGCTCATTTTGATTGTTACTTGTGTGCCTCGAGCCTTCAGGCTCCCTAACTAAATCTATCTAAGAGGCTAAAAACATCATGGATTTCTATGTGATAGAAGATTTACGTTATTGAAGCATATTCGGCCTGAGAGAGACGTTGTTTCACTCAGTATACCTGCTGAAAATGCGTTAAAATTATATTGCAATAAATCGATTCATCTGTGTTGATTACACAAGCTTTCATTGATTTCAATGAAGTATTTTATTGGTGCTAGTGCAAGATTAATTATTAAGTTTTGATTCACTGATTTGATACCTCCGCTGTTGCCGGTGTGGACGAGCGTTATATTCTAAGAGCCTTGCATGTGCACGACGACAACAAGAAAGCTTTAGTAGAAGACTGTCACTTATTCTGAGTAACATTAGAATGTAGTTGTCGAGTCTGTTGAGCCTTTATGATATATCGAAATCAAAGAATGAAAACACTGTACAAAATCGAAGATTCTTCCGAAACTTGAAACATTCCAACAAACCTTATCCGTCATTGGCGCTCTAACATGTTTGGCGAAATTGGCACGTTTCTACGCAAGCTGATCTAACAGAACTAAATTCTTTCCCAATTGAGACTAGCTTAACTAAATAGCAACATGAACAACGACTCAACTTTAATGAACTGCCAATATGATGAAAGTTGCATTTGTGATACTTAGTGCTTGCTTTCGTTATGGATGACTATTTATTAATAGCTTGTCTGATCACAGTTCAACGTGATCGTTTGAAAGTGCTTCCACCGTTCGTGCCTCATAAATTTACCCGCTGTGCAACTGTTATTATTGTAAAAGTTTATTTTACTAATGGACCAAACAATATTAAACTATAAATATATTATTTTTTCTCCCTATTTGCATTTTCTGGAGAGGCTGTAGTTGAGTTGGTCAATGATTGCCTCGCTACGTTCAGCAATGAGTGAATTTGGGATGCTGCAACACTGCTCGGGAAGGGAGAGGAAGTGTCACGAAGAGTGTACGCATATTTAATGTTATAATAATACGAATAATTTAGCTCCGATCACGTTAAATATTGATTTTGAAATGCATATTTTGATGTGCCAAGGTGATTGATTGTGTTAATAGTTACAAGTACAGAGTATAATTTGGACTCAAACGGCGAGCATCTGCATGCAGGGATAAAATAATTGTAACAAGACTGACAATTGATTAAAGGCGTGGAAATATATTTCTAGTTCACTGAAAATCGAAAGAAATTTCTACTTTCATAAATTATTTTTTATTTATAGCGAAACGAAAATTTGTCAACAATAGGAATAAAAACATCGACGTTGAGTCGTTAATTTTCATCACAAAATGAAAAAAGGCATCTGCACACTAATGATCAACCCGCCTTGAACAAGGATCAAAGAAACGCCTTGAGTTTATGCACAAGAACTATCATTCAAGCTTGATGTTAAACATGAACAACGAAGTAAAAATGTCATACAAATGAAGAGAAACATTTTGTGTAAATAAATATAATAACCAATACCATTGACATGATATAAATACAGGACTAGCTGCTACGCAAGTTTAAGCAGCACGCTCAGGAGTGTTAATCATTTGGCTCTCATTTTCATTACTGCACATGAAAAATGTTTGAGTCATCAACTCAACAACTTCAATCTTTGCTGGAAAAACGAACGCTTTCAGTATCGCGTCATTCAACTTTAATTCAGCTACATAAATTTTCACGCAGTAAAGATGTAGTGTCTGATGAGCTGGTGCTAATCAGAACTGGCATTCCATGCAGCAGTGCTTCATGATAAACAGCAGATAACTTCAAAATCGGCACTTAATAGATTTTAAGAAGTGAGGTATAATTTCGTCGCAGCGATTTCGTAATCGTCGCAGCCAAAAGACTTGAAACATTCTCAACCTGAAACAGTCACGATAATCAGGCAAACACGTGGCGATACCCCGGAAGAACAGACGACAAAATAACATTGTTTTGATTCAATTTTTATAACAATATAAACTCGCGTGTCAATTTCAAATAACAATATAAAAATGTCGCAGCCAGAAGACCTGCAATATCATTCTCAACCTAAAAAAAAAACACGATAGGAAGTCAGGAAAACCCTCGTCAATCCCCCGGGAGACCAGACGACAAAAATAACATTGTTTTGATTAAATTTTATAACAATATAAACTAGCGCGTAAATTAAAAAAAAAACCTGTAGAATCGTTCCAATAGGACAATGGACTTTTGGAAGCTTGTGAGCACGGATGCGAAATGACATTCAAGAGTCAAGATTGTTGCAACTTAATGCCGATATGAATATCAAGTGCGTCGTACAAGCAGTTGAAGGCAGTGTCAAGCCTGAATAGTACACACAATGTAGGTAATGCCGGGATGCGCTACTGGTTAAAGTTATCAAAGGAGTCAGCTCTTGACGCATTAAGCTTATCAATAACAAAGCCTTGACGCTACGACGCAGCACGATCGTGACGCAACGTCTTCAGCGCTACGATGCAGCACGATCGTGACGCAACGTCTTCAGCGCTACGCCGCAGCACGAGCCTGAGTCGCGGCCACTAAACCTTCCTCCGTTTGCTGTGTGGCGCGCTGCTCGCCACGGGGCTGCCGCTCTTCGAGTCTCGCCCGCGCTTCGGTCGTCGAGGCGTCGTCTCGTCTGCGGTCTCGTCTGAAGTTTGGCGACTTGCGCCGCTTCGACGACCCAAGGAAGAAGGCGTGCTGGACCCTTAAATGGTGATTATGGGATTTATCTTTTAAGCTCAAGATTTAATTATGGAAATGTCAGTTAAGTAGGGAAGAGAATCAAACACATGTTAGATACGTATAAGCCTAGCTGCCCTTGGTGCAAAGTTTAATGCTAAATTGTGCACGTTTGAACAGAATAAAATGCAAAACCTTGAGTGCATCAGCAGTAAACTCTCATGAATCATTCATAAAATAGAATGAACTAAAACTTACCAAAACTATAAGGTAATAGCCAACAAACGAACAAACTTTTCACTACATTGCTAATATTTAATAGATATAAAATAATCACTAGTCATAAAGTCATTAAATAATGGTAGTCACTCTCATATTTAAAAATTTTTTAACAGGCTAAAATTAGAATAAAATGTCCCCATTACAGTTAATCGGCATTCACAATAATATCGCAATTGGGCTCAGTAAATCCGTTGTACAGGCACTTAGAAGCTGAATTGGCCCACTCACCTTCCTTACTTTCATTTGAGACTCTATTGTAGGCCCGCTGCTTGGGAGTGAGCAACTCCGACTCCTTGCCGTTGACTAGGCGACCAGGGCTGCTGACTGCGGCTGTGAGGCGAGAGGAGCAAGGGGATTGATGTCGTGATGAAGACAGTGACTGATTGCGAGAGGTTATGACTGCTAAGGCTGAGGAAGAAGAAGCAGGAGTGCCTTTGCTACTGGCGCCTATAGTGTTGGCGGGAGGTTGGGCGGTGGGCAGGCTTACAGATGGAGTCAGTCTAGATTCCTTAAGAGTAGAACTTGCATCATTCAATGGAAGTGACTGCAGTTGTGGTGTGGATGTGTCAACCAAACGAGTGTCAGATGCAAGTAAATCTGAAGGTACATTAACGTTTTGTAGATAATCACTTGGTAGAGTGAATTCTGAGCCGTCGGTGATCGGGAACTGCAGCTTGTCAGAATCCTCCTGTTAAGACAGATGTGTTTGAAATTTTGTCACAGCTTTATAGAAATAAGAATTGAGGCTTTAAATGTCAATTTCATCCATAAAATATTTGGAAAGTGAGTAACTACAAATAAAAAATGGGAGATCAAATTTAGAAGAAAAGAACTTATTGCCAAAGATGAACACCATTTAAACTCACCAATGCTGACAAATCATATAAGGTACGAAGTTTATCCCATATAATTTGTGAAGAAACTTCTGTGTGTAAAGATTCACTCAATTTAGAGTGAATCATCAACATCTGAAAGTGTTTGTTGATACCTGAAATAATGGAGAGACTTGAGTGAATTAATGCATTTAATAGATTTTCTGATGGGCTAAATATATTAATATATTTAAGAACCATTGCACTCAAACTGACACTAGATCAAACTCATTTATCTAATATTCAAAACAGATTGAATATTCATTCGAATTTTGGAAAATACAAAATATATTTATCATAGACTTATCCTACAGAACATCAAATAGTACACATTTGGCCTTAATATACAGTAAATTCATTAAATCATACTGACTTGTTCATTTATATACATAAAAAACCTAATTCAAGTATAGGATGGTAGTCAATGCATTTCATCAGATTATCAAAATATTTCACATTGCATAAAAAATAGTAAAATTACTTATTTCAGAGAAGCTCACCTATTGGTTTGTGTCCTGTCATGGCATGGAATAACTGAATTTCATTATTAACTGTCCACTCAATCATCATTTCTGGCAACCTAGAATATCTTGCAAGGGAAAAATAAATTAATAAGCAGATTAATTGAAAAAAAATCTGAAAATGGACACATAAGCTTGCAAAAGCCTCTTTTAAGACACCTAATAATTTAAAATGAAACAAAATAAGTTCAACATCTTACACCAGAAAATTCAGGAGTAATTGAAATTAAGAATTTCAGGAAGTACCATTTCAGAACATAGCCATACTATTAAACTATTATTTCCATATTTAACAATTATTGTATAAATGACTCATAAATATTCCATTTTTAATCAACAATAAATTTAGAACATCATCATCATGACATCCCCCAAAATCTATGTTGTATAGTGGACTTGAAACAACCCATGTAACATATTGTAACTACGTACACTCAACCATGAGGCTATTAAACAATATAATTTGTATCGAGAAAATTGAATTAAAAGCCATTGAATTATCAACTCAGAAATAATATTTTTGCAATTTCTTAATTGCAAAAATATCTTAAAACAAGTATTAAAGCAAAAAACTATCAATCTAAACAAAGCCAACATGATGCTCCAAATGAAATAAGTGAAACAATTATGCTCAGGATTCATAGGTGACATGGAACCCCCCCAACAAATTAGACTTTTTAGATAATTATGTTCACAATTTAACATTTCAAATAGTAGGTATCACTTAATTAATATTTGAGATTTTATTTTCCATGATACAGCTAATGTTTGATTAATTTAACCAACATACAGTTTCAGTCTTGAATTGATTTTAATGACTTGCATGTTGCATTTGAAGTTAATAGAATTATATCAGGCAGTAATTTTAAAAATAAATTAGGTGTCAACAATCCATAGTAATACAGCAATCCCTTGATTAACGCGGTTGATAAATCCCCGAGTTTTACCGTGTTAAGCAAAACCGCGCTAATCAAACTTAAGAATATATGGGAATAATTATAATGAATCCTCAAAAATAGCAAAGGAAAGGAAAATTATGTAGTTTGATAAAAGTGAGCAGTAGATATGGCAGCGATCTTGACCAGTTGAAGGAAAATTCATAAAGTAACAACATTTGGCGAATTTTTCCAAAAGTCGTAACAAAAGTAAAAACATAAGATCTAATAAGCAAAAAGTAACACTTTTGTTACGAACGTAACACCTCTGGCTAGAGGCGGGAAAATGATGCTTTGTGAAAAAAAAAGTCGCGCTAATCAAAACTGGCACCGCGTAGATTAAGGGTAGGTCGCAAATTTTTTTTCCGCGTTAATCAAAACCGCGGTATTCAAAACCGTGCTAATCAAGGGATTGCTGTAGTACATTTGGCTTTTAATTAATGCTTTAGGAAATGTCCTTTTTCATAATGTTAGCAGAATTGAAATTTACCATCAAATGGGGTAATAAGGACGGGCAGGATAAATTGGGACAGTCGTCACACATTTTGTAGAAATGTTGTACTAGCAGCTAAACTAATCAAAATATTGTAAAACTAAAAATAGTGGCGTAAAGTTCAACATTTTTACTATCTATGTAGCATAGAACAAGTTAGGACATCATACATTTACTACCTCTAAAATATCCCTGAAATAAATGAAGGCTTTTGGAAAAGTACCTCTGCTAAGGTCTGTAGCAAAAAAAAATATTCACCATATTTAAAAATTGTACTTACATAAAAGTTGCATGCAGGTGTTGGCTTAAAAACGTGATTGATGGAATTTGCATATCTCATTCCAAAAAGAAAATCGCGGCCATTTCCACAGGATGGGGTAATAAGGGACACCCCTAAAAATGCATTTACAGAAGGTAGAACCTCAGTTAGCAAAGGCTCCAGTTAACCAAAAAATCAATTAACAACAAAAAATTTTGATTACATTTAGCAAAAAGATTTCACTAAACAAAAAATTACTGCATCATTGGTCATCACAAAACAAAGCACAGAATGTCATAGATAGATTGTGCACTGGGCAACATAGAATAAAAAGTAATTAACCTAAACTATGATATATTATTCCAAAATATATGATAGTTGTCAATAGAATAATACTTTCTCTTTCAGGTATGTTTTTTACATTATTTTTTTATTTTGTTATAGTGAATTCACTTGACTCAATTAAAATGGTCCAAAATTAAAAGCCATCCTGTAAGCATACAGATCCGAATAAATGCTATACAGCTGCTGATTTGAAGCTTGCAGTGGACAAGATCATTGTCAATGATCAATGACATGTCCATGGATACAGTAATATCATATCAATAAGAGTAATGTATGGATATATAATATCATATCAATAAAGGAAAAACAAGTAAAAATCACAGAAAATGTCATTTATCTTAGATCCACATCATCTACAAAGAAAGAGGAGGACTTCAGAGTACTGTTAGTAATAGATGAGTACACTCTGCATGCTTCAAACCCTAGGTGGAAATAATGCAACTTCAGAGGGATTTGTTTATCTGTTAATGAACTCTGCAGATGGCTTAGGCTGCAAAAATTGCCTCTAAATCTGCAGGATGCACAAAATTAATAATGATTCAAAATTAAATTCACAGCATAATCAAAAAAGTGAAATCTGAGTAATGTTTGATGCATCAAGCCTGGAATATTATTCAGGTGAATGCCAGATGCACCAAACAACAGAAGCTGTCATACCAGGAGCAATTCATGCTTGTCGACCATCGTATTGCTCCAGAAACAAATATGTGGTGAAAGCAATCTGTGTGTGTATACCTACCACAGAGCCCAGGCTCACGGAAAATGAGATGGTGCATAAACAACAGCAAGAAATTCCTTTGAAACTAAATGAATTGTTTGTTCAGATGTGTTTTTTTTATAAAATAAGAATGTGTTGGGAACTTGGGTTTTGCTCTCAAGACTCAAGCCTGTCAAATAACATTGCTGTGCTGTTACGTGTCTATGTCATCAAAACTTTATTTTAATTTTCAGATGGAATCATGGCTCAAAGAAAGTGGAATCATGGCTGGCAAACCCATAAAACCACAGCTCAAAAAATCAAGATGCGGCTTGCCAAGTAGATATATTCTGTGCCTGTCCTGATCCATCCAACATACCGGAAACCATACTATTTTTGCTTGCAGTCTTTCAGATTTGCAATAATTTCAAAGTAATCTCTAAAATGAAATAATTTCAATCCAAATGTGTAAGCAAGATCTTCTAAAGGAGTAAATTTTCTTGCTGATGCATCACCAAAGATCTTTCAATACACACCCACTTTCTGCACCCTGGTCCATGTCCAAACAAAAGTGCAAAGATCAAGTTAGATATTTGTAGGTTTGTCATGAGGTTATTATTAAGAACATAATTCTTGGCATGGATTTTTATTTCTCATTTTTTGCAACTTTGAAGGGTAATTATATGAACAAACAAACATTAATAAAAATAGCTTCAAGAGACACATCACATGACACATGTGAGACATGACAATGTATCAGCATTGCGTAAAAGTCTGTAAAGATGATGTTGCCATACCATTACGTTGGGAATTTCTGATAACATTTATGTCTAGACATATTTTATTTACTAAAGATTTTGCACTCAAAACTATTTTCTATTAATTAGAATGATGAAATTATTTCTGACTCCTTTCATTAATTGTAGAACCTTTGATAACCCTATCATTTGACACTAATATTTGTTTACTTCATATGCCCAATTTCTGAGGACTGGGTTATATAGCTAGGACTTATAGGGAATATAGCTTATGTCCAGACGGTCTATGCCTCTACAGAAGGTAAACAATGTTCCCATGAGATTGATAAGAAATATGTAGAAAACTTCTTTGAAAATAAATGTCTATATTTTTATGTTCACAAAATTTCCATATCAAGGAAAATCACAGACTATTGATTGATAATTAAATGCATATATGGCATATTGAGTATTATAAGTTTTCTGTCTCTTGTCCCTTGACAAAATGCATCTGCGCGCTGCGCGGACGCTTGCAGGCCTGGGCATGGTGCAATTCTATAGGTTATTCTAAAGAACCTGGTCTTATGTCATTTTGAACCGATTAACGCTTCTTTACGGACCAATCGTAAAACACACCTTTGCTGGCAAAAGCTTTCACACTTCTGAAGAGAGGTGAGCTGACAGCTACACTGGCCGTGGGTGGGCCTTATTTGAATTTGAATGCATGCATTGATTTGAAATCCTATTTGCATAGTATACAAGTCATAGAGCCTAAAATTTTAATATCTATGTAAAAATGCACGTTTCTGCATGGATTATAATGCTGTTAACATTAACAAACTTTGAACTTTCTCTGATGCAAGAAATACTTGCTTAAATAATTTTACTTTCAATATAAGCGACTGGATGCAACATTCGGTTTGCAAGAACTAACATAGCCCTGAACAACAGTAATTTCGATTGATGTTAATCTCTAAATTAAAATGTATTTAGCCAGTATTTCTAGCATCAGACACTTTCAAGTATTTCAATGCTAACAGCATCAAAATCCACGCAGAAACGTAAACTTTTAATAGGTTTTACACTGAAATTTACGCTCCTAGTCCAAAGGCACTGAGACCGATTTCAAATCAAAAATGACTAAATTGAATCCATCGTGCTTTCTGGCACCTTCTCTCACAGCTGATTGCAGTTCCAGTGCATTTTTTAGCTTAAGTTGCCAATACGTATTTAATGTAGTTTTCCGTAGTTCCGTTGGTACAAAACTTACAAAACAACGTTGAATTATTGATTGCTAATTTCTTGCATTAGTTTAATTTTTATGATTCAAATTAATCATAGAAGTTGTATCTCCATGATTCCATGCTGAATTAATATTACAAATAGAAGGTTCACATACAGGCTACAGTGATACAGATGCCAGTGCTGGCAGCGGCAATGAAATGAACTACTTTATTGTTTAGTATCTTGACTAAAAATATAATAATATTGTATTCTATTTAGGTCCGGTCTCTTAAAGTTTTCCAGCAACATATTTTCCATTACTAATTATTTAAATGTATTAACTTGTGGTGCAGTAAGATATTAAATTGTTTAAATTCTAAACAAAGATTATGCTTCCACATCCAGATGCTAGCGCCAGCAGTGGCAATCAAAGAAACTATTTTATTGTTAGTATATTTACTATATAACTAACAATACAACAATAACTAACTATAATAACAATATATTGTTCTGCTTAGGCACAGTCTCTCAAAATGTTGCAGAAACACATTTTCCATTACTAATTATTTACATTTATTTGTTTGTGGTACAGCGAAATATTGAATTTTTTTTGTCACAGTCGATGTAGCTACCACGTGTTCTTGTGTGTGACGGCACTGCTAGCCATATGTAAACAAAGCCACAGTAGTGAAGATGGGACCAGTTTTGCATTGAAATGGATGGTTATTTGTGAATAATATTTTCGATTGTGATATTATAACATATTTCTGATTGAGAACTAATTTTGATTGTGATATTGACACTTGACAGTAGTATCAACATTTGAATATCGAAGTTCTAACATCATGAATTACGAGGTAAAAGTGTAAGGACTGAGCAGAGCTAGAATCATGGCTGAGGCTTAACCGATGTCATTGTAATTTTTTACGTCATTGATATCATTGTGGAACCAACATAAGTAACTAAGGAATTTCCCAGTTCAAATATTTATTGATTTATTACTATCAATTTCGAAACTCCACATATTTCTAAAGGGAGTTGTGATGAGACCATGGGATTGAACTGTTGAGTTTAGACCATTGCAACTTGCAAGAGGGGCCCAAGGGCCAAGGGCATGGGGCCTTGCAAAGTGTTAAGACCGCTGCATGGCGGTGGACCGCCATAAGTACCTCTCTTCATAGAATTCCACTATGGGCCCGGGTATGGTCAGAAGTTGATCCAACTGTGCGCACTACGCAGCATTGGCTTAAAACCTCATAATGCATGGGAAAATTCCTGAAAACATACATCATCCTGATTCCTGAGTGCAGCACCAAACCAATTTATGTACTTTTTTCTATGCTTTACAATTAGGGCAATAAAAAAGTCATCTTATTAGACTAAATAGAAATGTTATTCATTTCAATACTGAATCTTGAAAACATTATAAATCTGTTAGAATGTTCAAGATCTCTCATGAAATCTGTTATTGTCTGTACAACTGTGTGTGAACTTGTGAGCTGTTAGTGACTTAGTGTTTTGACTGTTTTCTGTGTAATTTCAAGAGAATCGTTCCTTATACTTACGATTAGTTAATTCGTATACAACCGTATACGAATTAAGTACCGTAAACTGGGGTAATTTTGACCACTTTTTTTTCAAAATTATGCCATTTTTTTACTAGATAAGTTAAACTTCAATTGAAACATGCAAAATACAGGTCTATACTCTAGCTTTACTCACCATAAATTGCTGGCTCCTGCCTCTTATAGTTTTGATGTAATTTAAAAAAAGTGATGGTCTTTGTTGCCCCAGCTCTTGGGGTTTCCTTGACATGGTGGTAAAATCAATTTTATTTTTTGGTAAAATAACTCCAAATAACTCCATGCATTGTAGTAGAACTCTTCTAGTTACATATGCAAAAGCAAAAATTTTAGGCAAGTGTTATAGTTTGCAAATGGGGGGCGCCACCCCCAAATGGGCAAAATGTGACCATCTAAAGGCAGCTGTGACAGGGTAACATTGACCGGTTTGGAAATTAAGTTAAAATTACCATAT